CACCTTTCTGGTTTGTGTAGAATTGGTGCCCTGGTACATTCAAGCGACTACCTCAACCGTCCCGGATCACTTATTCTTCACAAGGCAAATAAAAAGAGGATGACTGATGCAATATGAATAAGAACTTGTAAAAAATAAATCATCTTTTATTCTGTGCTTCATCCAATTCAGAGCTGATGCTGGAATGTCACAGCAGGCGCTATTTCTAACTACTCTTCTCTGAAACAGTTCAAATGGACCATCCAGATGTAATTACGATACGTCGTTGGTGTTTAACAACTTTGTATTTTATAACTAATATAGAAATTGAGTCCCAAGTTTATCATTTATTACATTTTCTTCGAGGGATGTTATACGAGACATCAATAAAGCACTGATCCAACATAGCTTAGTCTTGGCTTACATTGCACGTAGAAAACAACGTATTCCTCATTTCTATGGCTCTACAAAGTTTAATTTCATTCCTATTCCTCTGACAGAATGTCCAAACATGCTTCTCTCCATTATTAGTCAGAGTGAGGCTTCTTCCGTCTGCTGCTTGTTGCCGGGCAGGTGAAGTAAAGTTTGTTTTTATAACCATTTACCGAAAACTCCCTAAAATTAGGTTAGGTGAGGGCAGTAAGACTTAAAAGTAGAATCAAAACAATTAACAATTAAATAAATTTCTATGGATTTGTTGGTGAAAGTTGTTTTATTTTGATAACTCATTATTTTGACATCAATTTGAATCATTTGCGCCATTGTTTATTATTTATTGTTAATAATTTATCTATTATTTATTTATTTATTAATGCATCGTTATTGAGTAATATTTCAAAAACAAAACTCTGGCATGTTCAAATTTAAAGGATGAAGTGTTTCAAAATCTAAAGCTAAAGATATTTCTTTTCTGCATGAAATCGTCGTGCCACTTTTCATGTCACATGACCACTTTACCACAGTGACATCACATCCATCTTCACACATACGTTAAGTAATGACTTATTTGATTTTAGTAGCTTTGAAGAATATAATACACCGGTTTTGTGCGATTAAACCCCTTTGGGTTCCACGTACACACGTTAGAGACTCCAGAGACACAGCTGAATCCGGGTGTCTCCCCTTTAAGTCATATTTTGGGATCATGTGTGGGGCAAAGAGCTGGTTTGTTCACAATCTCTATTCGGTTGTCTCGGCTAATTTGGCATCCAGGGCTTTTAAAAAAAATAATATTGGACAGCACTCCGTTATTTAGCTTTTGTATCAATGCATGAGCCTCGTTTCCACTTTGCAGTCAATGCACGTCTGTGGATTTTCCCACAAGCTGCATTCTGGACAGCTGAGCTTTAACTGGAGCCACGTCTGTGTACGTTCATAGCGATGAATTTGCGGGAATGGTTTTCATGGAGAACATGAAGAGATGATTTCATGGCGAACATGAAGAGATGGGCTGTGAGTGTTGCAGACTCTTTTTTTGCTAGAATTTGCTTTCATTGGAAAACCTGAGTGTTGAAAAACCATAGAAACGAAATAAGTGTTGAAAGCCGATACAAGCTTAGTATAATTGAACCGAGTACAAGCAGTAGCAAATAGCCAACTCTGTTCTGTCCAAAGATTTTTTTTTTAAATTGATTAAAAACTTCAGAGCTGTTACCATACTTCTTATTTAATAAGTTCTGTTTGCTGAAAAAATAAACCCATCGCCTGAAAAGTTCCATCAAATTCAAGGGAGGCAGGTAAACCACTAAGATAGTTTATAACAATAATAATGTCAGAGCATGAAATATCCGTGTAAGCCAGTGTGACACATTAAAGCAATTCGTAGGGATCTTCTCATCCCCTCTCATCCCTTAGCTTTGATGGTGGTGAGACGCAGCTGGGAGCTTTGATGTGGTGTTTGTTGCTTGGGAACCGCTCACCTGGATTAAACTGGGGTCAGTGGCGGCTAAACGGTGCGTTTTTTGTGGCCTCGCAGCATTCAGCGCTCGTGCCTCCGGGCCAGTTGTCCCCGTCCAGCTGGTGCCGCGGGCGCCGCGTTCAAGTCTCGGCGAGAAGCCGGATGTGGCGCTGAAGAAGTCGGTCTGAGCTTTCAAACCGCTGTCAAGGATGAAGCCATATGGAACAAAGATGGAGGCGGGCACGTCCGAGCATTCATCGCTGTCACGCACGCGCTCCCTTTTTAAACGAACTTCGCCGTTCGCTCTTTATCTGCTGAGGTTTGCTGAATCATTTAACGCGTCAAAAAGAAGCTCCGTCCTCCCCGGCCGAACGGAGCGAAAAAAACAACCAACCCCCCCCCCAATAAATGTTTCATACCAGACGGACTAATACCCTCTTGTCTGCATATCATCAGTCTGTCAGCGCGTACCTCTCCCCCCTCTGCGCTGACTGTAAACTATGCATTTTAAGCGGAGGGCTTGACACCGTGCGGCCCCCCGGGGGTCAGCCTTCAAAACCCTGCTGGGCTGTTAATGGCCTCCTGTGTTATCACTTTGCCGCTACTCCTCACACCTGCACTGAAGAATAATATTTACCCTGCCTGTCATCGCCGTGTGGTGTGTGTGTGTGTGTGTGTGTGTGTGTGTGTGTGTGTGTGTTTGTGTGTCCTCGCTTCAGACTTTACTGATGACTTCCATTCTCCTCCCTCAGGTGTCTTATTAGAGAAGGAATGAGCGGCCAGTCTGTGTGAAACGGGTCTTTCTCAGGAAAAGTGGGAGCGGCGAGCCGAATACCGGCACAGAAACCCCCGACCCCCCCGCCCCACCCCTGGTCACACGCCATGTCTTCATTAGCGGCCGCTTAAATGCGCGAGCACGTCTTTTCTCTGTTGCTCTGCTCTGGTTTTGTCTTTATTGGTTGAATTTGGGAGGCAGGTTGCCTCTCGCTAAGCTGCGATAAGTATGCTATCAACTCGTGGAACAAGATGCGATTGCTTTCATTTGGAAAAGTAGCACTTAAGTCATTTTCCCCCCCCGGGAATTTAAACATGAGCGGGGAGAAAGAGACTGAGACAGATTGAAAGGGACTGAGAGAAATTGGGCGAGGACAATGTTTTTCTTGTCTGTTTTTCGAAGTTTGAGGAGTCGGGGGAATTGTCAGTAATGAGAAATACAACAGCTGAGTGATGATGATTCGTTTTGGTTTTTCACCCGTGAGAAGATCTGCGCCACAATTATTTATTTATTTATTTTTTGTCATAGATGTGTCGTAGATTCCCAAGAATTTGATCTCTCAATATCCTGAAATTCAAATAAGAATCGGTTCCCTGTCGCATTATCTTCAACAGCAGCCCAGCGTGAGTAAGTCGGGCTCAGTAGATGAGAATCAGACAGTTGCCTGAAATGCAATTTGCGTGCTTGTGTTCACTGAAGGGGACCTGATGGAATTGTTAAAAACTGTAGTTCAACATTCTGGGAAACGTGCTTCTTTACTTCTTTGCCAAGAGATGAAAATACTGATTCCACACTCTGGTATTCTAGTGATGTATCCAACTTCTCAAATAAGTCACACAAAGTGAATTGCCCAAAAAGGTGTGCGATTAGTTATCGGGCATCACACAAGGCGATCCAAATGAACTCCACCATCCCAACAGTACATACAGAATAGTATAATATATAATGGTATAATATAATAATAATAGTATATATTATTGAAATTTGTATAATGTCATACAGGTTCAAAACTTTAAAATCAATCACATTTTTATGTTTCTTAACATACGCCATCAAATGGTTCTTGGGGTCCAAATCAAGTTTGTTCTTGATTTTATTTTTTATTTGCTTGAGGAAAGTGACCCATGAGTATTACAAGAAAAATGCTATTAGGTCATTTGGATTTTCGGTTCTCTTTCAAACAAGACAAAAACACCCAGTTTATTTATTTCAACACCGGCGCTTTGCTTAGAAAACTCATTTTGAGGTTGTTGTAAATAATTGCAAAAAGATATCGAATACACACAATACTGTTTATAACCAAGCCATGTGTCTGTACGTTTCATTTGAATTATTTAATTTGCAATCCCTGTATTAATAAATATGAGCTGAAAATAAATGTTCACCATGCAACAGTTAATAGTTAATCATTGTGGGCAGAGTATGAAAAAGGGCCGAGCAATTTCAGTTAGTGTGATGGATGCAGGTGATATTGCGCATTACAAATCCAATACAAAAGCCACCACTGAGCCGGTTTCCAAATTCATTTAATGGGGTCTGCTGAGATTCCTTGTTGCATGCAATAAATCTCAATTTGCTAATAAATGCATCTCTTAGCATCTTCGGTTTTGTCTTCATCATCCATGAGATCAAATGTATTATCCCAAGTTGTAGCAGTGAAGGCCTCCATAGCAACCTAGCTGCTCTGCAGACTTGTTAATGCCTATTTGCTGCCATCCTGTGGGCTTAATGGTTATTGCCCTGTTTGGTGTAATACAATGTCTGCACAGTAGGGGTCACTATTTCCATTTCCACTCGTCTTGTTTATTACTCTGGTTTACAGTAACCAACAGGCACTAACATGCACTCAGCAAGATGACCAATAGATGTCACTAATGACTGAAAAACATAAAGATGGATTATTTACTATCCTTACTTGTCCATGAAGTAATTGTTTGCTGATATTTACAGTTATATGTAAATTATAGCTTCAGGGTGAGAGGAGAAAAACTACAGCAAGACGGATTGGCAGAGAGCGACAGAAACAAAGGCATGACATTTGCGTAAAGGCCTGTGTTTAGGTGCTCGAGGTTTCTTCATTGATCCACTCCTGCAGCTTTTGGGAGGAGCTCGATCGCTGCTCGTCCCGATTCGGCTTCACAACTAGGTACCTAATATGCTAAAAATTCAACCAATCAAAGCTGCCTGTGAGTTCCCTCTCCCCCCAAATTGAATGTGAATTCTGAGATGTTTATAGGTGTGTGTGTGTGTGTGTGTGTGTGTGTGTGTGTGTGTGTGTGTGTGTGTGTGTGTGTGTGGTTCCCACACTGTTGATGGGGTGCAGCAGTAGAGGCCCGCTGTGGGGCAGGACTACACCTCTTTCTCTGTCCTCTTCCCTCTCCAACCTCGGCTCTCTTCTTCCTCCTGAGTGGATTTCTTTTTCTTTCCTTTTTTTGGAGGCTGAGCCCCCCCCCTGTTTCTCAAACAGCTCTGCTCCACCAGTTCTGCTCAGCGCCGGCCTGGAGAGGAGTAAGGGAGAGAGCAGAGTGGATTCGGTGAACCGAGGAGAGACCGACAGGGGAGAGGGACCATGGCTGCGCTCTCTGGCGTGCTGAAAACCTGGGTGATACTGCAGACCCTGTGCCTGGCGCTGGCCCAAGTGGTGAGTGAGAGACAGGGGACCTCGAGACCTGCTACTCTTCAGGCTTAGCCTCTTTTCATACTTGGGTTCGGTCTGGGATTCGGGGCCCCTGGGAAGGGCCGCTGGGGACGAGATGCCTTGAGGTGATTTTCAAAGTTGCGTTCTGTGTTGGTGTTCGATGAAGTGATTAAATGTGATGATGATCTGGCTTCATAGCACATAAAAGAAAGAGCTACAATGATGGAGACAAAATGACACCGGACTTTACGGATCATCTGTGGACTTTGTATGCTCATCGTGTGAGGACTCGGCTGTTTTGAAGTTTTAACAGGAAGGTGCTTCTGAAGGCGAGGGTTTTGCAATCTTGGTTCTTTGTTTAGTGCGGCAAGACGGTTTTTATGAATCAAGATTGAAGGTAACCGTTGATCTTTTTTTTTTCGTGGCCATGGCAGAGATGGAAATCAATGTGACACACACACACACGGCCTGCAGCATGCACACACTGTGTCCACCGACACTTGTTCACTGTTCAAACAGACACCTACATGCGATCTACTGGACACCCACAGAGGTTCACTCTTTTGGATTATCACCTTTCCACATTTCAGCTGTGGAAGAACTCAAAGTTGGATTCAACATTGGCTCTGATCATCTGATGGACTGACGGATCCTCCGAGGACGTATTCAACACCGGCTGAGCGGACAATGGGATGTGTGGATGGCGGGGGGGGTCAAGTGGGGGTCTTTGGAGTAAACAGTGCCAGTCTCGTGACACCATCTTCCACATTCCTCCACATTCCTTTTGTTGTTTCCTTGTTTTGGTTCTTTTTTGTGTGTTTGATGCTTTCCCGATAACGCAGCAACCTTGAATTGAACGACTCAATATAGTTTCCTCCTGCTTCACATCACAAGTTAGCTAAAAAAATATTTTATTGTTTATTTATCTAAAACAAGACAACATTCACTTATTTACTTTTACTCATCAATTGTTCCTTTTGCTGTTACACCTTATTAAGTGACCATGATGCTCATTGCAATGTATAACCCACTGTGAGACTCTTTGACGTTACTTGGCCGTCTCAAAACCATATTCCTGCCTGTGTTTCAGAGGGGTCCACCTGGACCTCAGGGCCAAGCCGGCCCACCAGGCCCCTCCGGCACTCCCGGGTCAGACGGCATCGATGTGAGTATCCTGCAGATTTGTCACAAAGGCCGTCATTGTGCTGGAGAAATACCAACTGCGCACTGCGCTGCAGTACTGGAGTCTTACCAGCAGAGGGCCGCACGAATGAAAACACATTGGCACAAAAGAGCTCTGTTCCCAGCAGTGAGAGGTTGTCTTTGAGAAGGGACCCTTGCCTCAATACGGAGTTTGTCTCTCAGTAATGTGATACATTTGCGCTACTCTCAGGGTTAACTGCACACAGGTTGTGTGTAAACTGCCTCTAAAACAATCCAAAGTGGTTGAATGTTGGATTTATTTGGATCAGCTAATGAGTTTTACGTTTAATAACAAACCAAAAGCGTACCACCTTCTGACAGGCAGTATAACAGGCACCTTAATCTGAATGGGCATTTTGAGTTGAGACTGATCGATTGCTGAGTCACTGATGTTAAAGTTATGATGTTAAGGCAGAATTTACCAGAAGGATGTTCATTGCATAATCACTGTTTGAAATGTGGCACATGTGCGTCTGGCAAAGATGGCAACACAAATACTGATAAAATACATTAGACGGTTTAACATCTCCAATCGGTTTCTCTGCAGGGAGAAAAAGGACCACCTGGGTCCCCGGGTCCACCAGTAAGTTTCCACCGGACTGTTTCATTGATACAAAACTGTTCGCATTTGATTCATCTCGATATCTATATTGCCTGTGAGAATAGTGGTCTGTTTTTCATTGTAGGGACTAAAGGGAGAGCCAGGAGAGCCAGGCCCTGATGGAGCACCAGGAGAGAATGGCATTGATGTAAGTAAACTGACTGGTGTCTGTGTGCTTTAGAGAAAGAGACAGAATGTGAGGAGGGTGAAAAGGCTTTAAAACTGAAAATACAATTCCAAGAAGCTGTTGATCTAAAGAAAAGTTTGGAGAGGCTTAGTGGTAAATCAGTAAAATGAGGGGGAAAAAAATCGACAAGCAAAGGTTAAAAACAATGGCAACACCAACGATTGTAAAAGAATCATGATTTTACAGAACTGGAAAGACCGCCAGATATCTTTTATTTGACAAATCTGAGAGTTTTGGGAAAAACATTTGTGTTTCGGACTTTCATTTGGACCTGCTTTGTGGGCTTATGAGTTAAACCACTGCAGATTTAGTACTTGGAGGCATTCAAGTTCATTAAGACAATAAAAACTCAGAGTCCACTTCTGCAGGTGCTTACTGACAAATCATAGAAGCTACTGGACATAACTTACTGTACAAAGTTATTTCTATATTCAGTGTATTGGATCCTGATTCTCTGGTCTATTGGTTTGATAGAGAGTTTCGGAATTTACCATTTTTAGGCTTATTTTACATTTTGAGCGATAGAAATGTACCGTGCAAGTCTGAACTAATAGCTTTGGCGATGAGACATTCTAGGAGGTTGATACACTTCACGGCAAACCCATTCATGCCATTCTTATACAACTGTGATAAATACAAATGATCTAGCTTTGATTAACCTTATATCAGTGCAGTTGTGGTGCAACCTCCGTTGCTGCTTCACGCTTAGCTGTTAGGATGTGCCTTTTGGTCACATGCTAACAGAAGCACGCAAACCCATGCACCCACATGCATTCCTTTGAGATTTAGCCAGTAATCCGCCCTGGAATCTCAATCTCTGGTTGTTTTCCTAATTACAGAAGAACAGTGTCAGCTTCGATCAAATGAGTAATTAGCTGAAATGTAAGGTGAATTTAACTGATTAGTTCACTTTTCAACCTCTTTCATGTCATTTCAATGTTCTTTTTTTGCCTTTTCCATTTCAAACTCTATATACATCTGGAGCATATCGTCTTATTAACACGTCCTTCCGTCCGTCTCCAGGGTTTGATTGGAGCAAAGGGCGATCGAGGTCCCGTCGGGAGCGCCGGCCCGAAGGCAAGTACCTAATCCACGGGAGAAAACCTGAGCTTTCATATCTAACAGGTGTCACTCTCACAAGAAAGACGTCTCTGGGTCGGACTTCTTGTGACATTGATGTTGAGCATGACCGTTAACCCTGTTTACAAGGGAATGAGTAACTGAGGACACTGTCCTCTAGTTGTGTCACCACTGGAGTTACATTGTTGTTGTTCTCTGTGGCCTGCAGGGTAAACCTGGACCAGCTGGCGAGCCTGGACCTCCTGTAAGAAATCTATTTATTGTTCAACTATTAAGTATGATGAGTGAAAATCTTACATTTTTAAAGAATGTGTGTTGCAATAGTGTTTGGGGAAATACCCAGATTCATTGTTGAAGTACTGTTATTTACGTATTTGTTCTTCATTGCAACATATTTTACAAGATTGTAAGTGTTTTTTGTATTAAGTAAAGATGTAGAAATGGCATGAAATAGAAATGCGTTAAATGAGTTAAATACGTGCCTCGTACGTAAACGTTGTGCATATATGTGCCAGCACATCGTCTGTAATACAGTCCACTGCCACTAGATGGTGCTCAGCGTCCGTCTTATCACACAGCATCCTACAAACTAAGTCCTGAGTCATTCAATGTCATGCTTGAATTCAGCAGTATTAGTTAAGTCCCTTGTTTAGCATTAACAGGCATCCTGTTTAGGGGCCCTGCTCGTACACCAAGCTGCCTCATGCTGCATTGGACTGGAGATCCCGCCCTGTGGGCTGTTCTTCCTCCAAGACGGCTTACTGATTTAATTACTTTGTTTATAATTAATTCGGAGTCGGGGCAAACATAAAACTGATTGCGTTCTGTGTATTTGCCCTTCTGGAGCACTGTTTGTGCTGCGCTTCGACACTGTACATCAGCATTAATGAATTACTGCTGCCATTATTAATTGGCTTTCACAAATGTTAATTGATACTTTGACGGATTGGTTCCACTTGTCATACGGGAGTTTAACCCCTCGTCTCTTCTGTCCACGCAGGGACCTGGCCTTCCGGGACTATCTGTAAGTAGCTTACTGGTTACTTAACTTATCGCTTAATGGCTTTGAGGTGTGGGAATCAATTTGTGGCTGCTGGGAAGTCCCTGCATTGTTTGTACTTACTCCCTTTGTCCCTCCGTCTAGGGCACTCCAGGCCCAATTGGTCTTCCCGGGGAAATTGGACTATCTGGTCCAAAGGTAGCAACCCGTCTACGGTTTATTATACTGCCTTCATGCAGATATCTCATGTGCAGGTCACAAGCTACCAGAACTTTTACCTTCTTGCCTTCTCTTCTGCTTCATGTAGGGTAGCGCGGGATCACCTGGACCTCCAGGACTTCCTGGGCCTCCTGGCAAGCCAGTAAGTGTCGGCCAAAGACTGATTGTCCTCTGATCTCTCTGATTTTTAAAGGAACAAAGATGGTGTTGGTGTTAAAATGAGACGTTGGAGAGCTTTGAAGTATAGCGTAGTTAAAGTCGGGATGAATAAACTAACAGGAGTATTCTTTGTACAGCACCTTGTACACAATCTGAGAACAACTACAACTTTTTTTCCCCACCATATCAAGCTCACAATCTTTTCAGGGTCCATTAACCTTGCACAGTAAATGACTGGCACATATGTATTACCCGACTATATGTTTCTCTGAAATATTCTCTGCTGAATATTCTGAGCCACAGTCCAAGTTACTGTCTTGAAACTCAACACACTTAATTGGATATAAAAATGATTGGGCAGCATCAACAGCACTAGTATTATTTGAGAGTTTATTAGATTTTGAAAACCATATATAGGCCAATTCATTATTTTACAAAAATAAACATATTTGATGAGCATTCTTTGATGAAGGTTTAGTGTGCTCTGTGGAGCATTTTATAGCATCATAAATAAACCTGTAATTTTCCCTCTGGTGTTCAAATTATCTTTGGCATATCTCTGCTGTGATTCCTTCTTGTATCGGTAGACGCAACGATGCTAATATATCTGCAATAAGCTATTCTTGGCTGATGCATTCACGGTGATTAAAACTCTGCTGCTGCTTGGATAAACTCAAACTTCATCCGTAGAGAAGATGTCACTGTAAATCGTGTCATATTTGAAGACCTTCAGTGAGATGTGACATTGGCTTAAAAAAAGAGCGAGACAAATGAGCAACCAGAAGCTCAATGGACTCCATGAACCACGTAGCACCAGAATCTATTTGCAGTTTACTTAAAACATTGAAGGGCAATTCATTGTTACATCACTTCCGCTGATCCTATGTGGATGTTCTTCAAAACAAGCAGCCATTAACGTGCTTTTAGAATGCACTGTACGATAACAAAGCGTCTCGCACAGCCAGAGCTCCCTGCTGCTCGGGCAGGTTCCAACACACAGCAAGTGCTGAAGTGCCACAAACTGCTTTTGAGCGCTACGCTTTCATGTCTCTCTTCCCCACGGTGCATGTAGTCCCCTGTGTGCATCTCTTGAGTGGTTCCAAGGAGGGGTGTGTCTTCATGGAGACTGATGTTCCCGAACCCAGGGGAGTGTCTTTGTTTAGCTTTAGTGCTATCCTAGGATAAATAAACCCCCATTAGATCAGTGGGCTGTCTCATCTGACTGCAGGGGGGATACATCAGCCCTCTTCAGCTACTGGACTACCTAACACGATCCATAAACAGAGAGAAGGACATGTGGAGGGAGAAAGAGAATGCTGGCTCAGCTCATGGGCGCAAAGGAAACTGTGACCAGGTGACTTTCTTCATCAATCTGCCTCTAATCCGCGTATCTGTCCATCTAGGGTCCTCCAGGGAAGTTCATTGGTGGAGAAGAGGGCAGTGCAGACTTCCAGGTGAGACCCAATGACATCCACGTTATTACAAACCTGACACCACTTCGTTTTTCGTAACCCATTTGTTTCCATCTTTACGTCAGTGTCCTCTTAACTGTCCGGCGGGACCTAAAGGGCCCCAGGGACTGCAGGGAGTTAAGGTGAGGAGTTGGCAATTCCCCTGAAGGAATAAGCACAGGTTTTCCAGTATCAATGATTGTGTTGCATAACAACATTTCATAACACGCCGCTGACTCATTGCTGCCCTTCAGGGACACAAAGGACGGGCTGGTGTTCTCGGAGAGCCCGGCAGCATAGGAAAAACGGTGAGCTGCACAATCGCGGGTGGAACCGATTCACACATGCACTCACACACCCGTACGTGTACGTGTTGCACACTCAGCCACCATTCAGGACCAGCAGAGGTGAGGATTAGCTTTAATGAAGCCCCCCAGAGCCACAGGACTGGCACTAATCTTGGCTGCGATTAGTCAGGCCCGGCCCGTGCCCTACAGTCAGCATGCAGCGCTAGATGAAAGGGGTGGTGAAGAGCCAGGTACACCAAGGAACGGATGATAGTCAGGTGAGAGCCCTCTCACCTTGCCGCATTAAGCACAGCTAATGAGCACACAGCGGGCTCCAAGTGAGAGTCGAACCAGGCGCCAGGAATTAGCCTGTGATCTTCTCACACGAGGTGCGTTAGACACCCAAAACGCACCGGCAAGTCAGACGGGCATTTCCGAAGATCCGCCTTTTACTCAAGGTTGCTCTTCGGTGTGGCTCTGGAAAAAAAAAGCAGATCCCATCTATGATAAATGTGCTCTATCGTAGCAAGACCAGCATTAATGCGTTTTTAGAACGCTGAAAATAGGAAAAGAGCAGCTTAAACTGGCCAGTGACACGAGCTTTGTTTCTCATTGGTATTACTGGCCTCATGGCAAGATGGTGAGGGTAGTGAATGAGAGCACTTATGTGAATGAATGCAATCAGCTCCAAAAAGCGTTGTTATATTTTGTATTTTCAAAGATCTATTTGCAAGCTGTTCTTGCAAAGCTCTGGCTCACCAAATGAGAAACAGATAAGGGGACTGAGTCAGAATGGCCTCCTGTACCGGTGAAGGAAAATGGCTAACCCATTTGTTACATTTGTAGACAAATAAGAATACAGGAACCACAACTTTGCTGTAACACATTAGCCGGCTCTTGCTCCATTGGGTGGTTGTCTTCGCCCTGGTGGACAATTACTGAGAAATAAAACACACCGTATCGTTTGTTAGAGTTAGTTAAGACGATTCAGAGAAGTTTGTAGGCCCTTTTTTAAAACCGTTGTTACCTTCTCTTTCTGCAAATCTAAGCTAATCACCACCAGTCACGAGCAATTTAAGAACCAGAAATCCTCTCACCTAGCTCTTGGCAAAAAGCCATTTGAGTGTTTTCTCAAAATGTTCAACCATTCCTTTTAAAAACACAAATAAACTAGTTTGAACTGTTGTAGGTGATTATTAGACCAGCTTCTTCTTGCTGGTGTTTGACCGTTCTTTAGCTGGCTAACTAGCTTAAGCTGGATTGCTACAAGCTTTTCCAGAACCGTCTAACGTTACAACGGTCACAGCGCAGTTCGGACATCAGCCGCCATAGACTAACTTGTACCAAATATCAGAACTCAGAGCAGCACAGAAAGAGAATAAGTAACCAGCTTGTGTTTTCCTGTCCTCCATCAGGGTCCAAAGGGAGAAGTGGGCATCTCTGGGGAACAGGGCATCCCAGGACCTCCGGTATACAGAGAATTCTACTTTCCAGTATTGTATTAGTATTGTAGCATCTGGTGTCCATCCAAACCTGTTTTCCGCTGCTTCCCTCTAAGGGTCCAATGGGTCTGAGAGGTTATCCAGGCATGATGGGACCTAAAGCAGAAGCAGTGAGTACCAAGCTTTTTTTGATCTTGTTCTCCACAAGTCCATGGGTGATCTCATTCTTAGAGGAGCACAAGGAGGCACATCCAGAACCTGCCCCCCACTATGCAAACACCATCCATTACCAGCAATGGGGACATATGGAAATGATGCTAACACAAATCTCTCCCCTCCTCTAATGAGTTGAGGTTGTCTGGGTCTACGGTGCCTCCATTTGTAGTTAATGATCCGCTGTAGCCATCCGTCTTACTGTTAACGTCGGCCGCGTTAGCCAAGTTAGCGCCCCGGGCTTAATGCCAAAGAAAGAGCTGCTGGCGTTCTGGGTAGCTCCAATTAGTGAAGTGAGTTAAGCGCTAATAACCCCTTTATCGCAATGAATGGTAGACTACCATGACGTCGCATCCTCTCTGATGTGAAGTGATTGATGATTTTGTTTCCTGATAGGGGCCTCGGGGTTACAAGGGCATCAGCGGACCCGTGGGAATCCCTGGACCTCCCGTAAGAACACGCACAGACAGATGTGGCTACTCACTGCAGGAATACCTGTTTCAATGTAACGACTAAGCTACTCAAAGTATCTCTCCATTATGTGTAGGGTGAGGAGGGGCCTAAGGGACCGCCCGGAGACGCAGGAGACAAGGGAGACAAAGTAGGTGACTCTCTTTGTGTTTTCCATTGAAGTGTATCTCCAAAGACAGATGGTACATTTCTCGTAACTTTAAATTGAAAATTTGGGCATTGAAAATACATCAACGTTGTTGTTTTTTATCTTTTTTTTTTTCTTTCCTGCAGGGCGGCCGAGGTATCCAGGGCCCACAGGGTGCGGTTGGCAAAAAGGGAGAGAATGTGAGCGAAAAGACAATTTTGTTAATGCACCACACAGTCGCAGTGGTGTTCAGAGAGTGTGCCAAATTAAGTCCACTCACTCATCCACTGGCTTTTTCAGGGTCTGCCGGGTATTGATGGAAAAGATGGTACGCCTGGTATTCCAGGGATCAAGGTAAGGGTTACCAGCCACGATAATGATGAGAAACTGGAATTGCAACAAAATTTGACAATTTCTTTCTCTTTTTTTTTTTTTTTTTTGCAGGGCGGCCCCGGCCAGGCCGGGATGCCTGGTCCTCCTGGTCCTCAGGGAGCAGCGGTGAGTGATCCGTCAATGTTGCACATGCAAATAAGCCTGTTTTTATAAAGGCTTGTTGTCACTCAGAACACGTTTGGGGTCAATCTGGTATCCTCCTTCATTCAACAAAGCCGGTACCGAGACAGGGAGAAAACAGCGTTAAGCAGCCTGTAAATTTGGGCATCTTTTATTTTCTGGGCAGTCATCCAGACAACAGTGACCCTGTGACCCACGCTGTTTTAGAATTTTAACCACCTTGAAATAGCATTCACCCTCCCACCGCGGGTGATTTATCACAATCAGACCAGTGGGTATAGGGTGTGTACTTTTGTGTGTGGTTAGGTCTGTGTGGGTGTCATTCTAACTAATGGGTAATGGAGCATGAGATGCACACTTTTCTGTATGCTCATTGCAGTAACACCAACCCCGCTGCAAACTTAAACACCATAACTTACCCTGCGTTATGCTGTGCTATGCCATCTCACACGCACACACACACAGAATCACTGCAAGGAAACCTGCTGCTAGGTAAATTCCCAGAAGCCGTCACAGCAACTCGGCCTGCTTTCATGGCCATAATTATATTAGGTATCATCATTATTGCCACCCATATCCAGCACTTGCATACTTTGTACATCCACATGCATTTACTGGTTGCATTTTCAGGTTCATTGTCTGTATTCCAAACTATGAAAGAAACTGGACATCGTTATGAAAACCCCCCGTTTCAGATCATTTTTTCCAAAGCAATTTTCAGTCCGGTTTATTCTGTCTGCAGGGATTGCCAGGCAGCCCAGGACCAAAAGGTGGAGCTGGAGCTAAGGTAGGCCGTTAAATATCATGTTTCATTGAGTTTTACTACTTTTTGAACTGATCCTCCTGGTTTGCATTTTTTTTAACATGTAACTTTTTCTTTTTGATGATTACTCTTGTCAGGGAGAGCCTGGACCTCGGGGTCACGTTGGCATGACTGGTGCCCCCGGACATCTGGTAACACGCACACAAAACATACATGATTTCAAGTACTCCAATTGTTGTTATTCTATTGTGTAGCAGGGTGAATCATTGCCCTTTTAACTGGATGCCCCTAGGGTGAGCCTGGTCTTCCTGGTGTGGCCGGTATGGAAGGAGTTCCTGGGCCTAAGGTACAAATCCAGAATTAGCACATGGAAGCATTTAACTGCAGGTATGAAGGGATTCTTACATTTGCCTTACTGCTGCAGGGGGACAGAGGCCAGAGAGGAGCAGTTGGGCCACAGGGAATTGTCGGCAAGCCTGTAAGTTTATTCTTGAATTTGTCTTTAGCTCTTCTGCAGCTACTTTCCTATATGAATTCAAATGTATCTTAACAGGGAAACAAAGGAGAGAGAGGACCTATCGGTGTTCCAGGTGCACAGGGTCTTAGCGGCACCAAGGGAGACAAGGTTTGTGCGTGTGTGTGTGTAACCAATTAATTGTAATTGTATGAAAACGTGAGCATCTCTGTCTACATTCAAGAACATTTTATAGTTATATTATATTTAGTTCCCCATACTTGTCCATTGAGGGCAGTGTTTACCCATCAACATAAGTCACAGCGATACATAGTAAATCACTGAATGAAGCGAGCAATATAAATGATAATGTGAGCATCCTAATCTTACTTTTTTAGAAATGAGACATCTTTCTTTGTGATATGCGGTGTCCCTGGCTTGAATCAACATTTGGTTGTTATTTTTAGCAAGATTAGAATTATACTCAAAATATGTCTTTCCAGGGCTTCCAAGGAAAAGTGGGGTCAAAAGGAGACGATGTGAGTTGCAGTCATTTTTAGCCGGATTGAATGCATCTCATGATGGTGTATTTCCATTCCAATGCAAAGAAATGTTTTCTACACTCTTTATCTTGCATCTCTTCTAGGGTGACCCCGGTGTTGAGGGATTGGCTGGCGAGAAAGGTGAAAAGGTAAAACCGCACAAGAGCTGTTTAGAGACTTTTGTTTTGTAAAGAAATACAAAAGTCTACGGAATACTAAAACTTTCTGGATTTAGACGAGACGGTTGTAACATGGGGCTCTGAAGGCATCAAAGCAAAGCAAGTGATATATGGTAGAAAATGTTGCAGCCGCACCGAAGTTAAGACGGAGACAAAGTCTGTTTTTGAATTTGCATACAAATCCCCATTGTCGTCAAGATGGCAAATGAGCTATTTACATGACAGTGAGGCAATGATGCATGTTGGCTTTTTTGAAGCAGCATTTTTTCCATATTCATTCTTGAATTCTTGCTCAACGGTTGTCTCTGAGGCAGAAATGATAGATGACGGTGATGACTGCGAAATTGACAATGTGTCTGTTTGCTGCGACAGGGTTTGTCTGGTGAACCGGGGCCCAAAGGACAGGTGAGGTTGAGCCGTTGTGGAAACCTGATTATTTCTGGATGAATTTGTTTCTTACCTTTTTAAAAAAAAAGTCATCTGCCTCTGAATATCCTCCCCTCAGTAATGCTCCTCTCTTTGCAGCAAGGCATTAGGGGTGACCCCGGACACAATGGACCAACCGGTGACCCGGGTAAACCCGGAGACGTGGGACCCCCAGGACTGCCCGGGCCCAGGGGACTCAATGGAGAGCGAGGAGTACCCGGCATGCCGGGCATTCAGGGGCCGTCAGTGAGTCCCGTTCACTCTCTGCGCACGGACCGATGTTGACTAATGCTTTTGGTTAGTTGCCGTCTCTTTGCTCAGTCTGCTCTTCTTTCATCCAGGGACGCGATACGTCTGACCAGCATATCATTGAAGTGGTCTTGAAGATGTTGCAGGGTGAGCGACTAGACCTCAATGTTCCCCTTTGATGTTTCGAAGGGAGATTCTATTATTCCATTTCACAAAGCTACTTTTATCTCCTGAGCAATCACTTCCCATTATCAAAGGTAATTTAATCAAAAACAGTGATGCTGTCTCCTCCGGAACAGAGAGGCTAGCTGCTGTGGCAGTGAGCGCCAAGAGGGCTGTGCTTGGCGGAGCAGGTGTAATGGGGCCTCCTGGCCCCCCCGGACCTCCGGGGTCAGCCGGCCCGCAGGGGCCGCATGGCTTACCTGGTGCCCGTGGCGTTCCTGGCATGATTGGGGGATCTGGACAGATTGGAAACACGGGACTTAAAGGTGGAAATATATAATGAATACACGTTTGAAAGGGTCGGTTTTTAGGCTGCATCTGAGAACACCCTGTTGTTGTTTTCTCCAGGAAAGCGAGGGGCAAAGGGAGACAGGGGCGATCCTGGTAACCCCCACCCGGGTCCACCAGGACCCCCAGGAAATACAAGGGTAAGAGATAAAACCTATACCTAAGTGGAATATAAAAGAGAAAATACTACTAAACAAGAAATTGAAGGCATTACAGCTTTTGCCACAGGGGAGTCTGCTTCGATGCATTTTAAAAGCATCATTAACTCTAGTCATTTAAGAGATGCTCTTGAATCAGAATAGAATGGGATTGCAACAGTACATGCTAATTCAAACACTGGGAAACACACTTACTCTCCTCTGTGTGCACACACACACACACACACACACACACATGTGTAATCCAAGGTGGGGTTAGGAGAGATGCCCCCAACATAAACGTTAGTGCTATTAATCAAGTCCAATGTCGAACCCTCCCCTTCCACAGGTCCTGCTGGTTTGGATGGTGTGGCTCGTAACGGTAGGCACGGCGAGACGGGGCCCCAGGGATCAGCCGGAGAAGCTGGTTACCCCGGTGCGGCGGGTTTGACAGGTCTCCCCGGCTACTGCGAGGCGGCAATGTGTTTAGCTGCGTCGGCATACACATCCCCAAGATTACAGGAGGCGGGAAGAATCAAAGGACCTAATGTTTAGAGACTTGGCTGTCCATCAGCGGCTCAACTGGGAGAGAGAGGGAATGATTGAAGGCGTGACGCCACTCTTCTCTATAAGAAACCATTGAGAACGAAGGTTAGGGGACAATAATAATGACAGCGCCCCCTTCTGAAACTGCCACCCGGAGGTTTTGACTGGTGGGGACATACTCGGATCTCAAGCACCCCCATATCGCCATGACAACAGCAGCTCTCACCCACATCCTTCTGAGTGCTGTAGCGTTTTTTTTGGGTGATGTCAGTGTCTGTCCCATGCTAATATCCCAACCCTGTTCTAGCATCAGATTTATATTGCATCCCCCCGTTTCCCATCACCGATGAGCTGGGAGGAGATGAAAACCAAGCAGGGTGAAAGGTACTTTTACACCGTGGTCACTTTGGTTTTACATATGCAATATTTTGACGTTAAATTGCCCCGCTTCTCTTGAGCCGTCTCTCGTGATGGCATAAGTGTACAAAAAAGCCCAATAAATGATTGAAAGTGACACACCGTACTGTAAAATGTATCTGTAAGCTTTCAAGTCCTTTATTTACCAAATGTATATTAAACCTCCCCACACACCAACACTACTCCTCTTCACCCCTTTACCTAAATCCCATTTTAGAAAACAACCGGCTTGATCTTGTCCGATTGTTGCCTGGCAACAGCATACCCAGATGGGCACTCCCATCTCCCACAATGCAATGCTGTAAATCTTTGTAAATGTGTGTTGATTATTGTGTAGAAAAAAGGGGTTATGATATGCACCAAAAGGTCCTGTGTTACTGAATTCAGTATTAAAAGGATGTAACTTCAAGACAATCAGCCCGAATGTGCTTCCTATGCCACTGTCAATTTTCTACAGGGTGCTAGCCATTTTTATTTTTTGATCAACTGAAGCTATTTATTGTTAATATAATCATCTGTTAGGGTCCTTTTTCGGCTACTCAGGTCAACCCGAACCAATAAAGAATAACATCACATCCAATGCTCTTCTGTATCAAGTGCGGCATGGAAACAAGTTTGTTTTATCTCCTTTCTCCTACTTTCTCCCATTTGAAATCTATAGTATGAATTTATGCATGTTAATAAAGTCCCCCAAAAATGTTTCCAAAAGTGCAGGTTCACAGCTTTGGTCAATATCCTTGCATTGGTGAGTTTTTTTTTTTTACCATACCAAGATGTCTGACGAGGAATACTTCTCCATATCTGGAGTTCAGGCATAGCTGATGGCTTCCTTTTTCTGTTTAAAATTAATGCCTTGAGATGAGAGATTGGGGTTAGAAGAGATCTGCTACTGGATTGTTTCACAAGTTGCCACCTTAGAAGCAGATTTTAAACCGACAAAAATATAAATCAACTACAAAATTAGGTAAAACAATAAGGAAATGCAACATGAGCAAATAGAGAGAAGCTCGGCAACTACAAAAGTTGATTCGACAATGATGACACGAGACAGCATCTTTCAAAGCTCATTTAATCCGGTTTTAACAGTTACCGTGGATTAGTTTGTGAGATGTCGGTCTAATGGCTAACGTTTGAGATACATGGTAAAAAAGTAAGACTGACTTAAGAAATCAATTTGTGATGCTTTAAAAGAATATTGTCTCTGAGTGCTTGACTGGCTGCTTAGTGAGTTGCATTACAATTAATTAATGCTCTTTATAAAGTTCCTGTTGAAGCAGAAAGATTTATATTACAGCCAATTTGGAATGCAGAATTAAATGAGGCTTTAGGTAGGTGTAGGGTGAAAATATAAGAGTAATAATTAAACAAATTTAACTCTGGCAGCACCTTTAACTTCAACAATCTTTAACTGAACACTTAATTTGATTCTAAAAGCTTAAAACCGTAAAGAAATATTCCTTTGGTTGATAACCACCAAAACTGAATAGGTAATGTATCAAATCTGTTGAAAAAGTAGAAAAGGCCACAATATATAAATATAAATATGTACAAAACAGTCAATTCTTTAGAAATGGCATGGACGTACGTTTCTTAGGATGATTTTTTACACACCACAACCGCTAAGATGAAGTTAAAAAATGCACGGGATGCCCCCTAATAATGATTTTGTGAGAAAGATTCAAGCAAAGTGCTACAATAACGGAAATTCTAGAAATTTAGACAGAAAATAAGCCTAAGTTAAAAAACAAACAAATTACAAACTGTAATTTTGTTCCCTTGTTTGAAAATGTTAAAAAGTAGAAAAGTGAGAATATAGAAGTTATATTGCAATGAAAATGTGCTGCTCGTGTGTCTTTTCAGGCCTCATTGGTTTTTTGCTTATAACTTTGTTCAAAATCTGTGTGGGTACATCTGTACAATTCAACAGCAAAGTTACTCCTGGAGGTCAGATTTAATAACTACTTGGCTTCCTGTCATCCAAAGTCCTCTTAGCTTCAGTCCATCTACTTTATTACCTCTCGCCCTCTACCACGGGCCCTTGATAGGTGGGCCCTTGGGGCTGTATTCTACTTGTTGGCTCCTACAATCTGCCGGATTACACCGGCCGTCATGTCCCTTTGTACCAGGCTTGCCAGGAGAGCCCGAGATCCCAGGAACACCCTGCTGGCCAACGGGACCCGGGGGTCCTGTCTTACCATAGCCCTGGGGGCCCGGGACACCTGAAAGAAGGGAGAAAGAGATTATAATGACGACATTTGAACAATGCAACATTACTTTTGATACGCTGCCAACTCACTATTCAACGACAAATGAAAAGTATTGAGTGGAAGATTGTTTTAGATGTTGGGGCTCAATAAATGGGATGGGAAAAAGGAATTGTCTGGAACCAAAACTACAGTTCAAATGCTGAACAACATGTTTTATGAAACTCTTACCTATATTAGGTCAAAATACTATACAGTACGACTTTCATTCTACTTACAAACCACAGCTATAACAAACTCCCGTATTAGTTATTGTAAATCACCTGGTGCTCCGGGAGGTCCTACATCTCCCATCTCCCCAACACCCTTATCTCCTTTTTCTCCACGTGGTCCATGTGGTCCTACAGAGAGGGATTACTTGTTTTGATCACATGACAGATATATTGTTTTAATGCTAGTTAATGATGATACTTATGTCCCTGTCACAAAGATTTTTCCGGTATCTGATGGTTCACCTGGTGGTCCTTGGCCTCCTGGGCGTCCTGTTCTGCCAACGTGTCCTGGGATTCCAGGTGCGCCTGGGTTCCCAGGATTACCTGGAGTGCCGTCTTTCCCTGGGGGTCCGGGCCGACCTGGGGATGCGACCTCTACTGGCGTCTGCATGCGCGACATGTAGTAGGACATTCTCTCTGCAGAGACAGGGACAAATGTGTTAAAAAGCGATTCCGCGGCAGCAAAAGCAGAGGTGAAAAGTGTAATAATTCTTTGGGAGAGAGATATGAAAAAAAGACTGGAGCTTTATACACTGTAAACTTTGCACAAGGCCGCTCTCACCATCAAAGATCTTGATGACCTGCTGGCGGATGAAGTTCTTGATTTCATCATAATTTACAACCGCCTGTTTAATACAGAAATTAAGAGAAAAGCAAAAGGGCAAACGTTAATCAAGGAAGATCATTTAAAATGAATTAATGCGCCTATGAAGCTGGCACCTTTGGCCACAGTACGGAGTCTATGTAGATCACATGATACGTTTGTTTTTTGTTGTTGTAATTTAACTGATACGGTTAAATAGATGTAAGTGAAATTAATCTGTATCTCACGTCATTTCCCGGTGCCCCTGCAGGTCCTGGGGTTCCCGGAGAACCCTCTGAACCCGGGTTCCCTCTCTCCCCTCTGGGTCCGACCGGGCCAATCATGGGCTGTGCGTCCTTGGAGTGGTAACCTCCACCCCCAGGGGGCCCAGGTCTACCTCTTTCACCAGCGGGACCTCGCTGGCCTGCTTCCCCGGGTTCACCCTGGGAGATAAAACACACTCAGTAGCTAAACAACATCAAAGAAGATGTGAAATGTCAAAGTTTGTACTAAAATATCATAATATAGTATGACATTTACGCTGTCATGTCATGGTACAGAATGTCATTATCCATATTAATTGTATGGCCACATCATGTGTAGTCAATTTACAAAAACTACGCAGTTAATTACGCCACGTAAAAGTTTTCAATCCACTTGGCATTTTATATGCTAATTATCTAAACAAAATTAGCAAAAGTGCATCTGTTTTCAACCCCATGTGCTGTGATGCCGTTAAATCTGATCTGGTGCCATCAATTGCATTCTGAATAAAAATGTAAAATCCAGCTGTGTGCAAGTAAGTGGGTGACCAAATAAAAAAAAAAGCTCAATATATAAATATATATATATATATATATATATATATATATATATATATATATATATATATATATATATATATAGATATATATATATTTTATTTTTTCAAGCAATTGCTTTCTTCAGCCCACTCTTCAATAAATCCCAGCCGTGTGCAGCATGAGGCATTAATCTCTTCCTACAAAGAGATACTCTGCTGTAGCACTTTCTGGTTCTTAAGGGTAATTGTTGTTCTCCTTACCTGCCTGTTTGACCTCTTTTGGGAGGTTCACACGTGTTCACACGTGCTGCTCAAAGAGAACTCAGTAAACTCAGTAAAGTAGAAGAAAAGCAATATTTCTTTGGATTAAAATAAATAATAAATAACTTCAAAAAGCCATAGTAAATGTATGTGGATATAGTAGGTGATAGAATTGTATGTTAAAGAGTCGAAAGTGGTGGTGTATATAGAATGTTGGTTACTAAATATATATATATAAGCATGTTGAATTATTTTAAAAGTCACTGCACATGGGTTTGAAGATGATAAAATAGATGGTGAAGAAAGTAGCTTCAACATTTGAAATGATTTAAAATTTGTGAAAAATTACAAAACGTGAATATTATTATTTCGGTGAAGGGGAAAGTGTCAGGTTTTTGGATTTGTCTATCAGTGCAACTGAATCCACCATTCGGGCTCAAAGAACAGCCCTTCTACATTATTGACAGTGATTTATCGTGGACAAACCACAGCATAATGGACGTCTAATGTTTACACACCGCCGACAGACACGCGTCCCTTGAAATGGAGACGCGGAAGAAGAATAGAGGAGCGCGTACTTGGATTTCTCCTCTGTTCTCCTCTCCCGTGCAGCTAAAGCCATGACAATGCCATCCTGTCAGCGTGACAAATAGCCTCATCTAGCATCTCCCCGCAGGCCTAATAGCATTATCCCCTAGGCAGAGAATAACTTTATCACCGCATTCCACCTACGGTGTCTGAGGACGGCTCCAACACACTCGACGGGCCAGCGGACGGTTTAAAGAAGGGCGAAGAGAAGTAAGCAGGACGGAGGACGCCAGTGGGAGGGCCGGTGACCTGATAGCTGTGTTAATGGCCAGTGGGCGGAGATGACGATGGCTTAGCGTGTACAGCGGTGCAGTGCTTCTGCCTTGAGTTGCCGTGGGCTAAAAGTGACCGAGAAAAGGCTCCGTCTCTCTGCAGGTGGTCTGCAGTGGTGACGGATGTCTGCTGCTCGGTTTGAACGCGCATAGACAAACGCTCGGGCGACGCGCGTGTGCAACTGTTCCACTCGGAGTCGGCTCTCACCTTTTGACCTGGTTGCCCGTTTTCCCCTGGTTGGCCGACGGATCCCTTTAAAAGCAATAAGAATCACGTATCAGCGAATAAATCTCTCTCCGTTATATTTTGACGACAAAACAAAACATTACTCACGTCTTTACCAGCTTCCCCATCATTGCCTGGCTCTCCCTAAAAGTCAAATTCATAGCAGGAAAATAAAAGTTAAGAAAGACATGTCGGCCTGGTAGGAGCTAGAAGGAAAAGTGTTCAAATTTAGACGCTAGTTGAGGTATTAACCATGGACCCAGGGTGCCCGGGCGGTCCTGGGGCTCCTCCCATCCCCGGAAGACCCCTCTCACCCACTTGGCCCTTGTCTCCTGTTATACCCTACAAAGGGGAGATGAAGAATTAATATTGTCAGATTATAGTGCACACAAACACAGTATTGCTCATAAAACAACACGTTTTCCCCCCTAATGTATGGTCATTTCTTTCAAGCATTTTGCATACCACTCCTGATGGACCAGGAGGTCCTGGTGGTCCAGCTGGACCTGCAGAACCCTGATGAGAATATCAAACATACAGTATTAAAGATTAACAAAATAACATATCACAATATCAACCAAACGTGCATCCACAGCCTGAAGTGCAATGAACTTACAACGTGGCCAGACGGTCCAGGTCGCCCAGGAGCTCCTGGGGTACCGGGATCACCCTGAAACAGTCACAGATGGACCTTTATAAGTCTTCAGGGTTACACTGACTATGACGTGCATGCTCCTGTATTGTGCTTCAACGCACAGATGATTGATTTCTGCTTGAATACTTTTTAATATCCAGTAGGAAAGCAAAAAACACTCACCTCGTGACCCGCCCTGCCTGGTGGTCCAGGTGGACCTGACGGTCCAGCATCACCCTGAAGGGACGAGAAAGCAATGAAAGGACAATGGAGGAAGCATGAGTGGAATGCATTGCTCTTCTCCTAGCGGAGACTAAAAACAATTAGGCGGAAAAATAACAAGGGAGCGCAAGAGTTATCATCACTTTGATAAAACACCTTAGGCTAACGTACATGCAATGGGAGTACGTTGACAAACAGATGCTAAAGCAATGAGTTGCTGACTAACCTTCTGTCCGGGGAAGCCGGAATGGCCAGTTTTCCCTTTGAATCCCTGGGGAGAGACATCAGAGAGGATGAGATTAGTACAGTATCAAAATCCACAAAGTCAAGGCTGCCAAAGAACAAGCAGGTGGGTTTTTGAAATCCCCAACACCTGCTCTTTGGTAGAAAAACAAACAGAGATACAGAGGCTGAGTGGGATAAATAAAAGATGGAGAGAAGGGAGGCAGAAATGCGGCTGATCCTCTCTTCGCTGACGCTGATAACAGCGTGTGGACTCGCCATCTCTCCAAGATGCTGGAATAAGATGGGAAGCTTAGATATTTCAAATGGGGTCACATCACCAGTGACATTCTTTTACATTTACAAGACACAGCGATGATTGCACATCGACGTGACTCGGGTGCCACCGGTGAAACTACACGAAAGTCAATAAACCTCATGACAAGCCATTCCATTGTTTTTGAGACAATTTACTTCAGACCACAACTTTTAACCTCGTAGTCATGCGCAGGGGAAACGGTTGCAACTAGCATGGCAGAAAATATAATGTAATAAAATTGAATTAAAATGGTTATGGGTTTATTAACTGTCTACCTCATAATGCATGCTTTCAGAATACACTTCAAATCATAGGGCTACAAGAGATCCATTCCGATTGGTTGAAGAAATATACATGTTGAGATCGATGTGTTGACGCTCCGAATGTACTAAACACACAGTGTACTTCTCCCAGCTAACCGTGCTGTTCACTGCGCAGATGGATGGAGAATCAAATGAGGTCATCTAGAGGTGATACTTACTGGAATTCCTCGTGGTCCTGCTGGGCCTGCAGGGCCAGCTTCTCCCTGGCAATGAAACCAGCAGACCGTGCAGAAGGTCAACCGTTGCATGTATTCAACTGCACCAACAATAGCACCACCTAAGTGTGCGTTTGAGTGTATACTGCTCGTGTGTGGGGTTGCTTTGTGTGTAACTCACCCGCAGCCCTGGTTTCCCATCTTTTCCATCCAATCCCTCAATGCCAGGGGGACCCTTTCATTAGAAACACGGAGTGTGGAAATGATCTTTTTTTTTTTTCATACTACACACTTGTGCGTTGGAAGTGGTCAAGCTTGGATGATATAACATGCATATACCATCAGTCCAGGGGAGCCTGGAGAGCCTGAGGGCCCCGTTGGGCCCTGAGATCCTTGAGTGCCGTCATTGCCCTTCGAAAAGCAAGAATATTCAGTACAGCAATCATCAGGAATATTTTGGATGCAGAAAAATGAGTTAAATGTGTGATGTTCTACTTACTTTTTCACCTTTGAGCCCAGTGGAACCTTCCCTTCCCGGTTTCCCCGCAATACCTGGAGGACCCTAAAAATAAAACTCAAAGATCAAAGAAATTCCCTACGATTACTCCAAAGGCAAGGGACAAGTTAAAACATGAACGTACTGGTGGTCCTGGGAAACCTGGTTGTCCTTGGAAACCCTTGAAAAAAAAAAAGAAAAAAAAGAAATGGCATAAGAATGTGGGTTTCATTTTAAAAAAGAGCACACATTTTTAGTATTTATATGTGTTCTAGACACCTGATCGCCTTTGGAACCAACAGGCCCAGCTGGTCCCGTGTCTCCTTTAATGCCCTGTAGAAACAAATTAAAATTAATTAAAACTTGTGAGGATGAACGAGGAAGCCGGGCTTTAAATAATGCTTGCAAAAGAATTTGGGATGGAAAGCTGACCGGGGAGCCGGCCAGTCCTTGGTATCCAGGGTTACCAGCGGCGCCCTGCAAAGGGGAACAAGATGTTAGCTAATGATATGCAACATTAACTGTAGAATAAAACATTCACAGTGTGAGGGCTCACCGATTCTCCTTTCTGACCACCGCCTCCGGGGCTCCCGCGCTCGCCTTTCAGTCCCTGACAAAAATACGTGAGGACAGTTAAATCAATGGGGCCACCTGTCTGTCCATTAAAGCCGTCAGACCGCTGTCAATCACGCACTTCCTTTATAACGAGGATGCGGAGAGGAACTTACGGGGAGCCCGGGCGGTCCCATGGATCCTGGGTAGCCCGAAGTCCCCGGAAGGCCCTGCGATGGGGATCATACACTCAATCAAACCTGGAAATAAAGTATTTTTCTAAACGTGTTATGATTTAAGGGAAAGTGATTGGCAGGCACTTACCTGCTCGCCCTTAATTCCTGGGGTGCCGGGTGACCCTGCCTCACCATTCTGACCCTGAGAATGATCAAAGTTAGGAATAATGAGAAAAGGAAGATGTGATATGTATGCTCCCCTGGTGAAGTCTGTATCAAGGAGACAAAACGTGTAACCGGCCAGTGCCGCCTCCCATTGGAACCCACGACATTTCATTTGTACTCAAACCACAAACGGGCTTTAATTCCTGTAATGCATACAATTTCGAGAGCATATTGAACGTTGTTTTTAGATAAATATTAAAATGAATTTGATCTGTTGCTTAGCAACAGCTGCTCCAAGCGGAAGACACATGAGAGCTGGAAGAAAAGAAAAAAATCAAAGTAAAGTGAGAGCTGTGTGTTTTTAAAATGGTGGCATCTTTGAGTGTACGTGAGATATTAGGCATACATTGCATGAATTACTCCTTAAAACAAATGAAAAAAACTTCAAAAAGAATATTGCTGTGAAGAAATTCAAATGATTACTGAGGGATAAGATTTAGAGAAAGTAATGAATGACTCATTACACGGAGGCAAAACTAATTAGTAGCTCATCTTGTTTGCAACTCACGACTGAATATAAGATATTCAGCACACACACACACACACACACACACACACACACACACACACACACACACACACACACAGGGGGCTACTACGCAGGCAAATGAAGTCCATGGAAAGCGATTAGGGGCAATTACTTAGTAATTACTTAGTAAGTAGTTACATTTGTGGGTATACTTACCCATCAGTAGTAAACTACTATTATACTACTACTACTATAACACCAGTAGTTATATTAATTCATGTTAGGGGAAACACCATAGTTTTTACATCACTACATATATTTAGGAGATAAAGTTGCTGCTACTTTTAAGATCAAATAGAGAACGATTTTAAAAAAAAGTTCAAAAATTCAAGTCAATGTTGATTATTAAAATAGTTGAGGTAATTAAACCGGAGGTTGCTCCGGTTTAATTAAAATAACTGTTTGAAGCCCACAGGCTACATTTATTCCATATTTCACAAACAAGAGAAGATTAGAGAAAAATGATCATTTTGTGAAGAACAACATTGTTTTTTCTCGTCAATGGCCAACCATAATAATACAATAATCTCAACCCCCCCCCCCCCCCCCCCCCAAAGATGGCGGTGTGGATTTAGGCTACAGATGGAACAAATTGGCCCAGAGGTCCTGGAACCCGCGGGGTCCCTGTGGATAGAAAACATTGAAACAAGATGAACTTAAGCATGGAATTAAAATACAAACACTGTCCTTCACACAAGTGCTGTATGCAGTGGTTGATTTTAGTTCTGGGACACTTTAAAAAATCTGCATACGTTTACATCTAGAAAGGAATAAATGACAATTTCAGAATCAGCCCCCTTAAATAAAACCACTGCATTAGCATTTCTCTACTGTGAATGACCCCTGTGGGGGATAAAGTTCTGCTGTCCGGAATGGTTCAACAAGGGAAAGATGTGTTGCTGAATCTTACCATGATTCCTGGTATTCCAGCTTTACCTCTTTCTCCTTGTATTCCCTGTTGTAACGATACAAAAATAAACTCCAAAGTAATTAAACTTGTAGAAGACATTCATTCTCAAGTAAAACTAGCAGTGTGTGCGTGACGGACTCACCGGCTCTCCTCTTGTTCCTGGTGATCCAGGCGTCCCTGGAATTCCTGGCATTCCTGGTCGGTCATTCTATGAGACAATGACATTAATTAATTAGGAAATGTACATTTAAATATATATATATATATATATATATATATATATATATATATATATATATATATATATATACATATATACATATTATACACATATAATATGATAAGGATTTCAACTGACCACAGCTTGTGTTGCCTGCTCTTTCTGCAGTCTGTCCAAACACTGGAAGCAGACAAGTTATTGGAATAATGCCTCGCTGCCGGCACATTATGCTGTTGGAAGGCTGCTCAACATGGAGCCGTAACGGTTGCTGACATTTCACATGATTCCTGGAACAATTAAACACGATCATTCCCTCCTAGTCTTACCTTGTCACAGCCGTCCAAGGGGGTTACACCGGGCTTGCCCTGGTCTCCTTTCTCTCCCTTTGCTCCACCTGTGCCTTGCACCCCTGGAGATCCTTGGGAGCAGTCTCCTCCTTTACAGGCTTCCTATCGCGCAGAACGCACACAAACACGGCATATATAGATATTTATTCACTGTATATATACACACACACACACACAGTTCATGCAAAAGTCGAAGGAAAAAGAAAAAGGGATTTGATAATAACCCATTCCTCAAAATGTTACTCATGAACTTACATCACCATCTTCTCCAGCAGAGTCTTGAGGTAGCTGGTCGGTTTCAATGTGTGTCTAGAAAAAGGGGCGGGAAAATGAAAACGGTGTTAATTTACTTTTCATCAAACACGCTCAAAATCGGCGGTTTTCTTTCACATTCTCTAAAACCCAAACCAGGTGAACAAATGTTCTTCTCCAAATACAGGTCCAGGACAGCGCTACAATGAAGTTTGGGGAAAGCGTCAACATTGATGGAAATACCACTTCGGTCCTTGTTCTATTCAAACCAGGATAGGTTTGGTCATTCAGACAAAAGAAAAAGGCAAAAGAAAGATGGCAATCTGGAAGTGAAACTGAAGAAGAAAAACAACACAAACTTCACAACCTTTCCAAGCAACTTGTAAGACCAAGATCAGCATATATAAAAAACAGGATTTACAGAATATTTAACCCCTCCTCCTCAGTCCATTTAGTACAGAAGTGCCTTACTTCTCTTTTGCAGCGTCTATAACAATGACTGCAGCTCATGACACGATCACTGCATTGCACACAGAACAACCCTCTGTTTATGGATATGTACAACAAATGTGTTTAGAAAAAGGGTTTTCAGGAATTTATTGTGCGCAAAAGAGCAGTTACTGCACGTGAACCCCTTGGAGTTCAGCAGTGTTGAATCTACATGCTGTAGTAGATTCTCATTAGACGATAGATATGTGAGAAATACAAACAGATACAAACGCAAAAGCAGAATGCACAAAACCATTTCAAATGATGTCAGGAAGCTGTGATTAAAGTCTATTGGGGAACGAAAAGTTTTAACGAGTAGAACGTTGCACGCAGAAAGTCGGACGGACACACATCAGCGGTTCTTTTCGCACACAGAGTGTGTACAAACACGCGTATTGAAAACGTGCAAGAGAAAACAAGAAAGACAAATGTCACGGTGGAGTTACATCGCCTGTTCATGACGACTTGACACACAACTACTTCACAGGCCCAATGGCGTTGGCTGCGGAAGGCAGTCGGAGCAGTGGGACCCGGTGCACCGAGAGGCCCTGTAGCACCTGGCCGGGTTTCAAAGTCATTACAAACCCATTTTACATTGTTCAAACTGGAGTCATTAGTTAGGCTATTTAATACTGCACAGCATTCAGGGGCACGAGGCTTTGTGCAGCAACAGACCTGCTCAAAAAGAAGGTTCTCTACAATTACGTGTCACCGTGAAACGCCTGATGTACTGAAAGGGATCGGCAAATTGCTTACTTTGGGGTTTTTCCAAGCAAAATAGCATTATTTATTTTTTTAGGCTCTGGAGAATTCTCGCTGAACCCCGGAAAAAATTAAAATAAAACATTGATCGGTTTATCTACTAAGATTACGGCCAAATGAAGTCTGGACATCGATGGATTGCAGATGGCTCCGACTTTATCACTGCAGTCAAACCTATTACAAGTATTAAGTAGTTCAGGGCTTAAGCTACAAAGGCAAATATCAGCACATCTCTTCTTATCACCCACGATCCATGGATGCATTAGAATATGCCAATCGTGGCTGGTTGTATATCCGTCGTCATGCCAACAGGTGTTGCCTGTATGCGATCAATAGACACAAAGTGTCTTTACAGTCTTAAGCGGTTTACTGATTTCCCAGCACCTCCCTTTCCTTCTTTAAGGAACTTTAGTTCCTGCGATGAAGGTGAAGTTCTCCTTGACTGCGAGCTTGGAATCAGCAGTGATGTTTCTTTAATGATATCCGGCCATCAGCGGGCTCGAAAGAATCAGAACTGAAGTCGCACACAGGACATGAATCCACAGATTACTTCACAACACTCAATTATCTGCTTTGATGTTTTCCTTGCACTTACTTTAATTAAACTAGTTTTGTCTACAAGAACACAAGAGTGTCTGAAGTTGCAAAGTGATCTGAGGCCAGATGCAAAAAAAACCCCACTCAATTTAGTGTTTGCAAAGAAATGCTCCCATCTTTGAAAGTTATACACCTCGGTAACACATTTATAGTCGTCATGAATGGAACTACAGTATATTAACATTGAGTCACAGTTATCAGTAACAAATATTAACTGTGTATTACTGTGTTTTAAAATTAAATAAAGTACCTATTGAAAGACGGTACTTAAAAAAAAAAAATGTTAATAATTAATACATAAGGGCCCAGATCTCAGATAAGTGGATGAGAGCCAGGTCTCCTCCTTTTCTCTCTAATTTTACTTACGATGTATCCTGGTAAACCGGGTTTCCCCTGTATCCCGTCGTTTCCAGGGATACCCTGAAAGAAGGAACTGAGGATGAACTGGTTTATTGCCAGTCGAGGACTTGCCTCTTGCCACCTCCACCAATGGCCGGGGCAAAGGGTGATGGTCGATTCAAACCGGTTCCTTTCTTTAATAGGTCTTATTACTTTGCACGCAGCCACTACCCTTGTCAAAGACATGACCACTTTCATCACCACTTTTGAAGCCTTTTCTCCCCTTTTAAATATTGCAAACACCGTATTTGAAGGTCTGCTCAAATTAGAAATGTATTTGATAAGTGTTGTGTGTGTGTGTATGGAATTATATATATATATATATATATATATATATATATATATATATATATATATATATATATATATATATATTTTTTTTTTTTAAATGAGACCTTCAAATAACTGTTCATGTCTTGACGGATATTCCCAAAGCTTGCTCAGTTGCTTCCCACATGGGTTAAAGCTTTAAGCACTGGACAGGTTAGAATTATCACAGCCTATTTTTAAACCCAGTTATTAAAACACATTCATTGTATAATGTTGCTCCATTTCCTACATGCATATTCTTAACTTAATTTCCCCGTCAAATTGCAAAGCATTTCAAAGCCTTGCTTTTCTCAAGTAACCAAGTTGCTCAAGCTGCAAATTTGTAGTTTTCTGCACGCTGATGGCGCAGCCAGACTGAATACAAGTGGAGAGAGATGCCCTCACAATCTTACTGTCCATTCATCTTACCGGTTGTCCATCCATTCCAGTAACACCTTGAGGCCCCGGCAGACCAGGAGGGCCAGGAGGTCCTGGTGGGCCCTTTAAAACAAAGACATAGCCACTAATGACACACACATGCCCAGTCAAACACAAATGAAGAATTCTGCGAACTGACTTTGCATAGTAAAAAACATAAAAGAAGCTTGCAAACAAAGCCCGAGTCATCACACAGGGCTGCTGGCCGACAGATCAGACCTGAGGGCCGGGTTGCCATGTGTTTATTGGAGTTCCTGGAGCTCCCTGGAAGGAAAAAGTAGTCTCATTGTGAAGTTAACAGTAGAAATATACATTGTCTCAATATGGTAAACTTAATAGTATGGTGCCACAACTAAAGCTGTATTAAAACCCATGTGGTGAGGCTACACATTTCTAGATTAATGTATTTGTCGATCTCTAATCGTTTGTTTGTGTACTCACAGGTCCGCCTATGCCTGAATGTACAGGTGTGATGCAGTTGCACTCTCCTGGTTCACCCTAAAAGAAGAAAGGAAAATAGCCAAAGTGAAACTCTTTGCTAAATGTTAAGCACATGCTGTCCAACTGTGTCCTCTTTCAACATTAACATTTCAGTTAGTGAAAGAAAAATTACTTTGTGCAGTTTTTACATTTACATGAATCAGTTCTTAATGCAGTGCAACGGTAGGGAAATAATAAAGCAATCTGCAATATGAATATGATTTACCCAAATTACACATCTGCTCCCACAACTTTCTTTTAACATAAATGTATATATTTGACGCTCTCCAGCGTGTCCCAAGACTACATAAAAACATTAAATAAAGATTCAGCAAAACAGACACTATTTTTCATCCTCTTAGTATTTCCTGATCTTTCCCCATTTCCTTATTTTCCCAACATTCCCAACCCTTAAGCCCCGCCGGCTGCACCGCCACTTCATCTCCCCCGGTCAGACACAGTGGAGTGGTGGCTCTGATGGATGCGATAATTAATACTCTTACACGGTTCTCTCTGAGGCCCCAGAAACTCCTCTCGTCTGGCAGCAACAGCACACTCGTCACCTTGGCTGCTACTCTATCTGTGGCCCGGGGGGGTGGTGTGGGGGGGGGGCGGGGGGGGACGCGCACGCTTGTGTGAGAGCATGTACAGTCCGTGTGCGTGTGTTAATGTGAGAGATGAGGGGAACCATCTCTTGTGATTACCATCTGTTTCACCCCCCCCCCCCCCCTCCTCATATTCAAACCCCTCCAGTTCCCTTCATCCAAACAAGAACGGTAGACTTACCTTGTCCCCCTTAGCGCCATCAAGTCCCTACAAAAGAAGGGGACAGCACACACACACACACACACACACAAGCACTTAGTTACTCCTGCTTTGTTGTTCCAGAAGAAAGCTCACAGGGCAGTGAGCTCAGTGTAGATCAGGGGACAGAGGATGAGATGGGAGCAGACGTTGCCTCTGTCATGGATCGAGGCGGACACCATTGGTTATAAATGCCTAAATCAAGGACTGTTCCCAAAGAAGCTCAAAGAAAATGAAAACTCTGAAAACAAACTCAAGTTTGCTACTAAAATAAAACTGATAAAAACAATTATTCTAATGTTTTTGTACATATGCATCAGCATGCATATGTAAAAAACAAAAAACAAAAACAAACATGCAAATAACCAAGGGATATTAAAGGAATAAGACAACTTACAGGTTTGCCGTCAGCCCCGGGCAATCCTGTAGACCCAGGGTTTGCATCTCTGCCCTGCGTGAAGAAGTACATAACATAACAGCATATTATTACACTGTTTGACGGCATAATAAAATGTCATTACATCTCCACATGCAAATCCCAAAAGTTGTGTTAATGTTGTACCGGCGGGCCTGGTACTCCAATGCCCTCAGGACCGCGTGGTCCCGGAGGCCCAGCTTCTCCCACGGAGCCCTAAAAAGAGAAAACTCTTGGTATGTCATGGTTTCATTGTCTCGAAAAAATGAAGTTGGGCTTCCCACCCACTATTTTATATGACCTTTTCTCCTGCAGGGCCATCAGCTCCTGTCAATCCTCTGGCTCCAGGAGGCCCCTGTACAAAACACACACATTAGACCAACATTTGAAAATGTAGCGTAGAATAGTTGGAGTCGAGTATGACTTTAACTTACTCCGAGTCCTGGGAGTCCTCTTGGTCCCTCTTCACCCTACGACGAAAATCAAAAAGTAACACAAATAAGACAGGATTAGGTTTAAGTGGCCTGGGGCAGTTCGGTCTCATTAGCTCATCAAATACAGACACTTTGTCACCCGGCATTTACTCTGTCCGAGGTCGGGAAGGATGGACACGTCAAAGAAACACAAGCCTGTCACCAAGGAGACTGCTTACATCTTGTGTGAGGCCAAGTCAACTCTGACTTCTTTTAAGATACTAGTTATATAAGTTAACTGATGTAAGTCACCCAAGTAGTACTAGTTAAGTATTAGGGGGGGACCAGCTTCCCTGTGTCATAAAATGATTGAAGATTCCACAATGAATCCAATTATTTCAGAGAGAAGAGCCTGGGATATGTTCAGATAGTTATTTACAACCTAATCATTCTATTTTTAGTTCTGAGAAAGGGGAGAGCACCACTATGTGGATGTTCATCACTGGGACGAAATCACATCCACATTGCAGATGTGTGTTTACTTTGTAGGACAGAGCTGCGTCAGCTGTTGCCATAAAACTCCAGATGTGGGACACATTAGTCTTACTTGTTGTCCTGGAAGGCCTATTGCTGCAACTCCAGCTTCTCCCTACAGCGTCACAAGACAACACGGATTAGAATTTACTGTATGATGTACAATTAGATCCAATCCTGCGCATGTATTCATAGACATGCAAATACAATACACATTCATACCTTGATTCCTTTGGGACCAGAAGGACCCGGCACACCTGGTAAGCCTGGTTTTCCCTAAATAGAAAACATGTAAAATGATAATGAACAAGAACAGAGTTAGCTAATATATATAATACATAATATGTATATTATGAATGAATTCACATAAAATTCCCTAACATTTTTTCCAGGCTTCCCTTCTCCTGTGGGACCAGTGTCTCCTCGCTCTCCTTTGGGGCCTTGCACAGCGACACCTTCCCCCACTGCAGTTCCCAGAGAAGCACAGCTGGTACAACTGTCGCCCTGAGGAAACACAACAAATCCAAATCTTTATCCAGGAACCCTTTAAAAAGAAAAAAAACTTTAGTTGAAAAAGTATCTACCCTCGAATTAGACAACTGCAAGCAATGCAGAAAACATGCCTGCTACTTCTTATACAGTAAGCCATTAACAATTGATGCAATTTCAGCAACAAAATCAGTCAGCAGATGCAGCTAAGGCACAGCAAAGTTGACCTTTCTTAAAAGTTTCGGCATTGTGTACCTTTGCTCCCTTCAAGCCCATGAGTCCGTCCCGACCAGGCTCTCCAGGCAGTCCTGGGACTCCAGGAGCCCCGTTGAGTCCGTTATTTCCTTGATCGCCTTCTTCGCCCTGGTTGTATTGAAACATGATAAGAGGGCCTAAGAGTCAACTCTACAATAATTATGTGAAAGATGCAATATAAAGCTTTTGACAACTACAGAAGTTGTTTTAATGAGAAACAGTTTTACGAGTCGATTATGTTTTATTGTCTTTTTTATTGTGTTCGTAAACATCAACACCAGGGTCGACAATACCCCACTGATCAAGCGTTGTGGAAGTAGTTTTCCCAAAATCAGTCCATCAAATGTGCAGTGATTTTTCTGCAGACACCCTTCGTCCCAATAGATTAGTTTAAAAAGTCTCCAGACTCCTCCAGTTTATTCATTATTCAATGTAAGAATTTATGTAAGATAAGAAACTTACCTTTTCTCCTTTCGCACCAGCGAGACCTGGTGGGCCCTGTGTAAGCAAACAGAAGACGATGAACGAAAAAGTACAAATGTATGACACAAAAGCAAAGTGTGCACACACACGCTGTCATCTGAGGCGTTCATGAGAGCCTTCGGCCTCCAGCTAAAATAATTGTTGAAAAAAAGCTAACCGCAAAGGCTAGTGACATGTCATTGAAAGGTATTGATGAAGCAAACAACAATTCTGCAGTAAAAGAAGAATCCCTGCAGGTTCACTATCCGTTGCGTCTTCTGTTTTGTGCCATCCATGTTTTTCTCACAGAGCTGTCGTACCCGTTTGCCATCTGCTCCTAGTCCTGGAGGTCCGGTCGGACCTTGAGGGCCTGGTTCGCCCGGCTTGCCTCTTGCTCCATCGAGTAGTTTCATGCCGGCGGGTCCGCTACCCGCCTCTGCCGGCTGGCATTGACCGCAATCACCCTATCGAAGGCCAGGGAGTCAGGAGGTTTAGTTTGCGAGACAGTAAAGCTAAATGGTGCAAAACACCCAACTTGTGTCTACACTTACCTTCTCACCCTTAAGGCCGGGAAGACCAAGCCCTGGGAGCCCCTGCTCTCCCTTTAGAGATATAAATGGGATATCAAAATGGCACACAATGGGTTTTCGGGCATCTCAGAGGGTGTTTTCAAAAAATGTACCAACTCTCCTCCCAGTTCAAGATGCATCATTAGTTATTGGCATTTAAAAATCTGATATATTATTATGCAATTGAAGACTGGAGTAGTTTACAAACCTAGTACTATATATTATAGTATTATACTACACAAGCTTCTCTTGTTAATAATTACAATTACGTTGAGCAATGTGCCTGTGAATAGACAAAGCCACGAAGATCCCGCGCGACGTTAGAAGCTCGTCACTGCCGGCTTACCTGCAAGCCTCTTTGTCCATCCTTGCCACTGGGCCCCTTTGGTCCAGACTTTCCCTGCCACATAGAAAAATGAAAAATAAAAAAGGAACCTCAATGAATGCGATGAGACATTTTGTTTTGAGGGACTGATTCTGAACGTACCGGCTTTCCATCTGCTCCTTTGCTCCCCGCGTTACCCTGTAGACGAGTAATAAAACAGTCTGAATTCCACTAATTGATTGAAATGGATCGGGGTCTTAAATAGGTCATTCACATTTCATAGAAAGGTACAGCCTACAGGCAGCTAAGTCAAATGCTTTTGGTTTTCCACTGCCTAAGCTTTCACTAATAAGTTCCCTGCTGAGTACAATCCCTTTGGCGAACAGTTTTAGGCCCTAAAATTAGCACACTGCTGTGATTATCTTCCCCATGAAGTCTATTATGAGCCCCATGAAGCGTCCCACTGAGTGAGTTCCCCTTACGTAAGCCTAGTCGACTATCGAGGTCACCGACTCTCAGAATCACTTACCTTTTCTCCTCTAAGCCCAGGTGATCCTACATTTCCAGGCTCTCCCTGTGGAGAAGATCAAATTGAACGACAGATGCTTTTAATGAGGGTTGAGATCACTGCTCAGACACACTGACATTAACAGAATGATGAAAAAACATTACCCAGTTTTGGTTGACTTTATTTTGTTTATTGCATTGCTTCTTTTCAAGAGTTACCATTCTGTGTTGCTGGTGTTTTACTGCTCTGCTTTTCATTTATCCGTAGAATGAAATGAATTCTTCCTTCAACCGACTTACTTGTTGTCCCTTTTGTCCAATCCCAGGCTCTCCCCTCTCTCCCTCCCGCTGCTGGGTCTGAACACCGGCTCCGATAGTTGGGCACACAGAACATGGTTCTCCCTATAAGCGTGTTGGCAGATGTGGTGGAGGTGGCTTAGCGATTGTCTTCATATAATTATCCACAACAGGACTCATTTAAAATAAAAACAAAATAAATGAAAATGGTTGGAAATGTGATGTGTTCCAAAACGAATGCTACGTAAACGATTCTACGTAGAGCTTCAGGAAAACGTACAGTGTGAACTTCCTTAATCAGGATAATTTATCGAGTTGACATTTTAATAAAGTTATCGAAAAAGAAGCGAAGTGTTTCACACCAAGCCGAATAAAACCTGACCTTTTCTCCTTTGAAACCTCCTGTTCCTGGTTCGCCCTGTCAAAACATACAAAAATAGAGACAGCACAGTAGTCAGAGCTCCCTGATGAATGCATTCGCTTTGAGATGTCGCGTCTCGACATGGCATCGGAAGCATGCGGAGGTGCAACTACGCAGACGTTGGAGTATACCAGTAATGTGTGAGTTGGTGCGTGGAGCGAGTTCGCATACGTGCACACGCGAGAGGGAGTGTGAACTTTAATGTCTCTACATGGAGTTTAGTTCAGCTAGTTTGCTTGCATCTGCTTTCTGCACTGCTGATGTTGGCATATCTAAATGTGTGGGAATGCAGATGAGCGTGCGTATAGGTCACGCTTCTGCAGAATATCAATGAAGCATTAGCTGTAAATGAATGAGGGAGAGCTCTATACCTTCTGTCCTGCCTTGCCATCTGTGCCCAGGGGCCCCTGGTAAAAACAGGAAAAGAGAGAGGAGCCGGGATGAGCCATGAGCAATGTCAGTTCAACGTTGATACAGTCAGTTCATATCTCTCTCTCTCTCCGTTTCTCTGCCTCCTTCTTACTCTGCCCTAACCAGGTATGACGGATGGATGCTGGCATTATTGGAAATCGTTGTGCAGAGAATCTCATAAAGGTTCTGGATTTATATTATCACCCCACCCCCACCCACACACAAATCATTCCCCATTTCACCTGCTGGGGTAAGTGGGAAGATGTAGAAAAATAAAAAAAAGAAGAGAAACACAATGCACAGTGGGTTGTGTCCACATTTACCAGAAAGAAATGTGCTTCGATTGCATCAACAAAGTGTCCTTTGCCTAGGCGGATACTCTTCTGACAAGGACAAATACAGCCCAAAACTATAAATCAAACTCTGTAGCTTTCCACAGAGTGATAAGGAAAATAAAATATACATCCGCTATCAAACAAGTGCTCAAGGTTCAAATCGTCAGCTACAGTTCAGACTGTACCTGCGACAATAAAACGGAGCAAGACCATAAAACACTCGGGGCAGGTTCAGAATACGTTACGGCTTGACTTTGCAGGACGTTCAAACCGTTGTACTTACAGGCGGTCCTCTCTCCCCTATCCCTGGTGATCCAGCCTCTCCTTTAGGGCCCGGCTTCCCTTGCAGTGCCACCGTGTTACCCGTGCCTGAAGGCAGCACGGGGCACACCTCGCATGGGTCACCCTGGTGATTGAACATCAGTCAAGGTCACAAGATGTGGATGAGAGACCACGTTGTTTAAGATATCGAAGATACTGTTTTAAGGTACCTTATTTCCTTTAAACCCCGTTGGTCCTCTTGGGCCCTGTGAAAACCGCAGATTCACAGTCAAACACTGACGTCTCAGACTAGTTAGAGCGCTGTGTAGTGGAAGCTCAAGCCGAATGTCAATCAATGTTTAAGAGTCTCTCACTGGATCTCCCGGCGATCCGTCTCCTCCCTGAGGCCCTGCGTCTCCCTGTTAACACAAATTACAGAGTTTGTCTTAAAGATATTGTTACATGTAACCTGAAAACTATCCTTATAACATAGATTTTCTCATATTGTTTAAATGAAACACATAAAACAGATTTCACATGCCAAATATCAGTCTACATCAGCGGTAATGGAATAGATTGATTACATATGGGGCCTTTGCAATTTTGATTTGTCTTGGGCTGAATAGTGAACCTACTACCTTGTCTCCTTTTACACCAACTGCTTCACCAGGAGGGCCCTGACAGGAAGTAAAAACACAAGTCATTCCAAGAGATGCTCTTAAAAAGGTTTTTAGTCATGGCCAATAAGTTCTGAAGCGAAAGAATGTTCTGAAAGTCCACTTGACCCATCGACCCAAATTCCTCCCTCCTAGGGATATTTTGTGGATCGACTGACGTATCGAGCTATAGGGCTGCACACTTACTGGTGGGCCCGGCTTTCCAACGCCCGGCGTGCCTGGGAATCCATTCTTCCCCGGCTCTCCGGCCAACCCCTCTGGACCCACCAAACCTGGGGTACCCTGTGAAAACAAGGAGGCACACAGCTCTTAAAATCCTCTGGACTGAATGTGTGCGAATGGGAGTTTCTACCAATCAATCAGACTTAATGCGGACAGACCTTCTGTCCCTTGGGGCCGACGACACAGATTGACCCTCCACGACCCTGGAAAATGGTGACAGACAAGGGAGCAAAGTGGCTGCATCAATATGGTCAGTGACATCATCGGCGTCGGCCCCGAATGACAAAGCTAGCACTACGGAAGTCCATCTCCGAAAGACAAGCTCGATTTGCCTCATTCGTTTGAGAATTTATGATTGGAATTAGAATTGTAGAGCGGTTAAGATGCATTGTCTTCATCGGTGCATACGCAATATTTTCTGGCTGCCTGATTCAAGTCACATCAACAAGTACATTCATATTCACAATGTCAGATGGCTGGCAGGCTTAAGAAAATCTCCCCTCAACCAAATCCATCCGTCCACGACAAGCACTTAGCCTGGTGAACAGCTAAATGTGTGTGTGTCTGATGGAATATTTAAAGAGCGCGCGCGCGCACACACACACACACACACACACACACACACAGGCGTTGTAATTTGTTCCTAAAAAGTTTCCATGGCTCTACAGGATCATTGCGCTGAACGGGGAAGATTAAAAGGTTTAAGTCTTCCTGAATGGGTTCCTGCCTGTGTGGGAGATGAACAGCACACTCAATGAGGCAGCATTGATTGTGCAAGCTTTGTTGCCCTTCGCCTAATCTAACAGGCATTAACAGGCCAACTTAACGCTATGGGAGAGAGTGGAGGGGAGAGAGCAGATATCAATGGGAGTCTAAGCTTAAAGAGTAATACCGTATAAGTTCACTGAATATCCGCTGTTAATCTGATACTAGTGGCCCTTGTAAGTGCTTGCTGTGTGTCTGGCTGGCTGTATAGGTGCGTTTGTGAGGGCATGCTCTTTTTTTTTAGTATTGGTGTTAATGAAAATATAGATTTCCAAATAACTGTTTGACTTAACCTCAAAGCAAATGGCAGACACATGAAACCTGAAAAACCTACATCCCTCCCTGGAGTGCCTGTGGGACCCTGAGCACCGATCTCTCCCTTCCGACCCTTTTCTCCCTAGACAGGGACAAAGTAACAGGGGTGAAACATACAAAAGAGACTTAAAATAACAAGAGGTTACATAATAATTAGGTGAACTTTAAGAGGTTGCGTCTTCATTATTCATCGCTGAAGGCTCCTTAAACCTTTCACCTTGTAGCCTGCTGCTTCGCCCCAGTTGGCAGGTGGTGCCTGTGGAGAGGAGGAAAGGAAACAAGGCCCAGATCAATGATCATCCTCTGAAGAGACATCACACACACACACACACACACACACACACACACACACACACACACACACACACACACACACACACACACACACACACACACACACACACACACACACAACCAGTGGTGCATAGCAAACAACACAGTGACTAGTCAGCAACCCGTCTGAACTATCAGCAGGACCCGTTTGCTCAATTGAAACCCACGCACACGCAGGGGAACTAAGGACATGGAAGCAAATACAGATGCATATACAGTACTTTAATCTGACACAAACATACTTAGCCACGTATACATGAATGCATTCACAGAGACCTGCATAACGGATTTTCTGCACACACAAATTCCCACTGCATTATTCATTATGGGGCCTGATGCTTGAAAATCTTTGAATGAGGATCAAACTAAACCACTGAAAGGCTGGCGAGGTGTGAGGGCAGTGGGATGTGGTTCTGTAACCTGTGGCATGAGATTTGGCACTCACCAGCTCGCCCCTCTCCCCCTTCTGGCCCTTGGGTCCCTCTGTGCACTTCGGTTGGAGACAGTTAGTTGGCATCAGTTATCACATATCACTTTCTAGCCAATTGTTTTCCAGTTCATACTGTGCTGCATGCCAGAAAAACAAGACAGTGCTTAGTAAGTAAGACTCAATGGAAAGGTTACTTACTGGACCTGAATGGGAGCCAGAACAGGCGTCACCCTGAGACAGAGAGGGACGAGGAAAAGAAGAACGATTGCTTGTGGGTCAGGAACAGAAGCCTATCAGCTTAGACTTGGAATAAAAAGGTACATCAAAATGTCTGTGTGTTTATTTCGAGGCATGTCTGAGCACATGTGGGGACAAAACACATTCCATTAGTCTGAATACACAAAAACGCGCACGCGCACACACACACACACACACACACACACGTGTGTCTGTATGCTATATTTCATCTTTCATGCTCACCCTGTCGCCTTTTTCACCTTTAGTCCCAGCAACTCCCTGCAACACACAGACACACACACAGTCACACACTCCACAGTGGTTCTCATGAAAAGACGTGGACGTAAAGATCACTGATCCTAACATTTCCTTCACTATTCGGGAGTAAACAGCCAGCACACCACAGACATATACATAGACACAGAAGCGTTATACGGTATCGGCTATTACACAAAAGTGTTGTGTGGCCCGAGCAAAAGTCTGTAACCAGTAAAACGGGTTGTAGGTCACGTAGTCGCCAGGTGGTGGCACTGTTAAACAAAACAAAACCGTGGCGCTATGGTCCACGGCTAAAAAGGCTGGGAGGTGGGCGAGGCACATAGACATCCACTCGGGAAACACACACGCAGCTCCCATGGGAGACGGAGATCAATAGGAATGTCTGATTCCCACGGCACAGGAGCGAGGAGACCAGCTGCTCCTCACGGGAGGGCTCGCACGCTTAAAAACAAATAGCAAACGAGGATAACCACTATCAATAACCAAAGCATTTCTTTCGGCAGAAGCGGGGTAATTAAACGCCGTGTTCCTGGAAGTCCTGCTTTCAAACACCAGCACGTTTGCATGTATTGAAGCGGTGACAATGAGCTCAGTGGGATGAGAAAATAGCAGTAACGGCACAGAAACAATGTGTAATTCCCCCACTTCTCTTCCCTCCCCGCTGCAGCCCTCCTACGGGGCTACAGATCTATCAATGGCTGGCTCGACCAGCTGCAATTACGAGTCACTCTTTCCGAGCCCTTGTCTGGCCGTGGGCTTAGTCAAGTCCTTGTGTAGTTCCACTTAAAAATCCAGCAGCCTTGCCCGCATTGTTTATTATCTACGTTCAGCTTTGAAATGGAAAAGTCAGATTGTTGCAAAAGGGCAGAACACTTTTGCCGCGCGTTAGCAAATGGCATTCAAATATCCTTGCAGCAGAGCACATTTATGCCGTCTTTACTATACTCTCAATTACAAGAGCAGTCTGATCTACAACCTGATGACCACTGCACATTATGGTTCGTTGTATAAATATGTATTCATACAGTGAGAATCACACAAACACATGCGCGGCCACGCTGTGTTCCATCTCCTTCTCTCGCCTTAATTCCTCTTCCTTGTCCTATTTTTTCACTCGGGCGATATGTAGGACCCTGAGCCCTCCCTGCTCCAGATGTTTTAAATCTGGATCACCTTTCGCACCACAAACGATCTTTGTCATGCAACACGTGGCTGTTTAATCCATTGATAATATATCAATATTGACTGGTGCAACCTTAAGTGTTTCAGCCTTTAAAATTGGCACGTTTTATTTTGGCACAGATGTCCTCTTCAGAAGTGCAATAGTAGTAGTATTTAACGTCCACATTGAGTACGCAAACACGTATGCTCATTCATTTGTTATTGAGTCTTGTTTTCTGGTACGAAACATCCCAACGCATATCTTTCTTGGGCATTTGTTTCTCTAGCTTGCAGGATTTGGGGGATTAATGGCAACCCCGAGCACTTTAATGCAAATTGAATCACAGCAAACACCTATATTACTTCTCGCCTGGTATGTACATATCAACATACCTTAGAAAGTATCTTATTTAGGCATACGTGCCACTTTCTCAAAAGCATTAGGCCTATTTACTAAGACTCTGAATCTAATAGTAGAAAAGGTTAGAAAATAAGGGCTGAGGGTTTTTTCTTTTGGAAATTTCCTTTGAGTGAATAGATTCATGGTGAGCCTTTTGACTCACACAACCACAAAGCCGCTCGTGTAGCAGGAACGGGCTGCAGAGGAATAGCTGAAGCAGCAAGACATGAACAGTGCGATGAAAATGCGTGTCTGCCGGAGCAGTATGATTTCGCCCCCGTGAGCAAAATCTACCCTTTATTCACACCAATTATCACCATTATCACATGAGGCTGGTTAGTTATATTTGTTGGGCCTTTTTGTTGGTGCTAGTGTTTGACCCAGTAACAGGGCAAGCAGAGTTCTGCTGCTCAGGTAATAACCTACATTGAGGAAGTCAGGGGAGGTGGCCAGCTGCATTAGTAAGCACACACAGGAGCAACATAATGAAGCGTCTGGAGTTTTGCATTCTATTTGTGAACAGAACACGGCTATTGTAGGTGAATGATAAAATGAATAGGCAGCAGAACTCCCGACTGAGGCGTAGCGCATAATGAGGTGTAAATCAGTCCTCGGTCCGTCTGCGAGCTGGATACGAGTGAGGGAGAAGGAAGAAATGGAGCCATTTCTCCCCATGCAAAACAAACAAACAAAAAAAAGGTACACGCAAGCATTGTTGTCCTATTTAACGTCAGCAAAAAATAAGTTTATCCATCCACATGCTTAATGGACTTTTTGGAGGTATTCAACAGGACATGCGTGTGTTTGGACCATAGGAGCTTGAGGATCGCTTTGATGCGAATCTCTTGTGTCCAACAAGCTGCATTAGAAATGTAATAATGTCAAATCCAGCGTGTGTGCGTGCGTGCAAATTGTACCGCTTACTTTCTCAGACAGATCCTCTGATGTGAAAATCTCCTGTTGATATAGAGAAAGTTAAGAGAAGTAGAGATTGAATGAACGAGAGAAAGGGAAAGAAAGTAAAGGAAAACGTCAGGTCTCTTTCCTTTCGCATCATATCTGACCTTGACCTCATTATTACTACAATCTACAAATTCATATTGTCGCAAGATTGGTTTCCGTCTATCACATCTCTGGATGAGAAGTCGCAGAGATATTATTCAGTCTGGTTTTCTCCACTTTGACAGGACCTTAACCTAGTTCTTGTTTCAGGCTTAGCTCTTAGCTCCAATTTGTATCGAGACATTTATCTATATTTCATAAATTCTTCTCAAGCCTTTGAGCATATAGGTCCTACTCAAAGGTACTGGCAGCTGTGCTGCAGCTGTAACTCAAACAATTTTAGAAGATGTGCAGCAATTGAACTTTAAAGTTTCCTTAGTATCAACATCATATGTAATCTTTGGCATAGGCAAACTGCTTTCCTGTTGCATGTGGAAGGCATACCTTTAAACCTTGCTGCAATTACAACTCATTGCATCAGGCAGACAACAAAGACAGGATAACTAAGGGCCATCTAGGTTTCATACAGGGGTCATTAAAAAGTTATTCTTTTTCTCTGAGCGAAAAAAAAAAACATGAAAGAGAAAAAGCTGCGAGTACAGTACCCCAAGAGCCCAGAGGCTAACGGAGAGATGGACCCTGCTGTGCACGGTTACAAATCTGGCGGGGAAAACAGTCGCCGACAAGAAACATGGAAAAAGGACTGGAAAACAATTTGTTCAAGACAGCATGTTAGAAGGGGTGGAAATAGGAAAGATGTTATGCATAGGGAACAAGAGAGACGACATTTTACAGCTGGTTTTTGACTTGGACATAAAAGTCAAGTAGAAACACACGGAGACCGGGGAATGAAATACAAAGAAGCCTTTGGGTCCTCTGAGGGTGAGATGACCTTTCAGTTAGAAGCCGGGATGAAAGGAAGGAAAATAAAAGCGGGTTATAGTGTAGGAAGACGTGAAACAGACAGTGTCAGTGAGATATGCCATACCTCGGAAAGACACCTCTGCACCAAACCCAGATTGTCTATTTATTGCAAACGCAGGTTGGTGAACATCGACGCAGCTGGTACCGAATACTGGCGAGAAACTACTCGCTTCAAGTACTTCAAGTTGCACTCTTTGCAATTTTTTCAGAAATTACTAGCACTATTATTTAATACGGTTAACACACCCGGTTAACAAAGTGAAATACACCCACAGAATGGCTTTTTCCCCACAAGCTGGTCGAGGCCTCCCTGTGCTGACTTTGTATCTAAAATGCGCCTCTTTCCATTTACCGGACACCTGAAATTCCATGTATGCAGAGATAAACACGCAGTCACTCAGCGAGGCTTAGTTTGATGAAAGCAGTGCTGTGGCTCAGTAACATCTGGCCTGCACACTGGAATCTTGGGACTACGTTGGTCTTTTACCAAAGAAAGAGAATCCACTGCAGTTCAACACTGTGCATGTATGAGCATGTTGGGAATGAGGGCAAAAGAGAAAGGAGGACAGAAATTAGTGTGGGCTGCATTCACGGCGGTTACACATCTGCAATGAAGAATGGCGGAGTCATTACCAGGCGCAGAACACTGGACTATAAGTCTAAACCGCATAATGCACAACTGATAGCAGAAGGGGAGAGAGAATGAGCAGTGAGCGAGAAGGAGAAATACAAACAGGGAGCGATGGAACGCCTGAGTTACTGTAACCGTGTCTGGCTGGAACCACCTATGGGATTGATTACCGTGTCCCAAGTCTGCCAGGGCTCCAAGTTAACACCAGCTCTCCACAAGACAAACAACGGGCCTTAATGAATAGATAATTGGATATAGATCCCATTAATATGAATAATGAGAGAAGCAGATGTGAAAACAAAAAATAAATTGCCTTTAAGTTACGCTGGACAAACTTCATGTATCAACGCGGCATTGAAGCACCGTGGAAACGTGTTGAATAATGCCGCCCACGCGTGGCGTAAGGCTCAATTCTTCATGCATTCGACACTGCCGGTTGACACTGAAGTATTGCAACATGGGGACTTAACTGAAATGAAGTTACATACAACTCTGTAGTGCTAAAGACGGCAGCAGAGTGGAAAACACTGATTTCTACTGGAGAGTTTCAATGAAGAACAAATAAGCCATTTGGTAGAAGTACCACGAAAACAGCATCAGCAGGACAACGCAAACTATTTCAAGAACGAAACAGTTTGAGGCCAAGTCCTCGCTTGTCTCTTCGTCTGTGCCCGATGGGAGCCGTGTTTGACAGAAGATTCATGAACATCTTCCTTTCATTTGGTACTTGATCTAGTTGCGTGTCATTAATTTTGCAATAACTGAAGTACAAGTCTTTTATTATTGATTTACCTGGTTAAAGACGTTTTCCAACAGGTCATTCTCTGCAGCACGGCGGCTCTTGGTAGCATCTGGTGGGCACTGCAAATATACAATAAACAAACTTTAAGACAAAAGTAAAAGAATAGTGACTTCCTACCTAAAGGCTATGATGCTATTCTGGGCCAGATGGTCTGTATGTGTGTGTACAGGTGAGAGCCCATGTGCACACATGCACAACCAATCAATCCTAAACGCTGCTCGCATGGAGCCCTGAAGCACAGACGTTGAGCAAAGCAGAAGCGCTTCCCGTCTTCAAACCCTCCAATCACCGATTCTACAGCATTCAGTCGGTCCTCCGGAGGACTCTACAGCCTCTTCAGAGGGAACCTGCCGCACTTGTATCCCTTTCAAAAATGTATTTCGGTAATGAAAATCACAGACATGCACTGACACGTAAGGACAGACACCCTGGAGAAGTTAGAAAAAAACTTGGCTGAGCAAGAAAAATACGTAGAGCTTAAAAATAAACACATTAAAAAACTGTCTCCCCACACCTGAAGAGTCACTCGCTCTTAGTAAAAGTTGAGGTGACAAAAATGTGAAACAATGGAATTACTCAAGTCAATTTGTTTTAAAAAGCTTCTGTAGAATACTGAGTTTACTATTACTTTTCATATCTGTGGTATGTATGCAGGGCGAGGACAGTAAGTGCTCCTCCTGCGTATAAAACCTTGAAGTATTTTTTTTTTCCCCCTATGAGTGGAAGATGTTTCGGTACCATGAAACATCAGATGGAAACTGCTCTTCTATAAATAAAATAAAAAGCGACATCCGGCAACGTTTCCCATTTTTTTGTGTATCATTTTGGATTATATCCAACTCGAGATAATTCACAGTAGAGCAGGCGTGAAAAGTGCTCGACACAAATTCATTTTCTTATTGTTAATCCTTGTTCATCAGTAAAATGACGGTTGCCACGCTCACCCGTGCTCCAGGTATCTCACAGCAAGCTTCCTGAACGGCGAGGGAGGGGTCACAATACAGCATCACCTGCTGAATGTCCATCTGCGAAGGACAGGGAGAGAAAGAGATTGAAATAATTAAGAAGCAGGAAATCCTTTTGCTCCATTTCCATTGGTTCATAATAAAAATAAAGCTTAAATAAGGTCGTAAGTAAGGCCGAGAGCCAATTCAATTATTATGTATATAAAGTATTACGAAAGCTTGAAGGTTTACATGCGCGTGCGGTGTGTTTGAACATTTCTTAACCGGGCTAACAAAACAGCCAACCCACCTTCAAGCTAGGCTGGTTAATTGATCGTCAAACTAAATGCATGGAATACTGGATCCATTCAGCTCTAATAGTCCCGGCTCTATTCAGGCACATTCTCCCGGGTAGTCCAAACGCTTTTTTGATCAGTATTAAACGGCACTTAAGGGGTCTTCTAAATCAGGAATCAGGAAACATTTATTGCCATAATATGTTAGACATACAAGGAATTTGACTTGGCAAAATGAATACCTACACACACAAATGTGACAATACACATAACGTGCATGAAGAGAATGATTGAATTCAGAAATATGTGCTTTGTGCTGGAAGCGGGGATTTCCGGGAAATGCCTGGTTTGTAATAAAAACAAATATCAATACAAAGGTTTATTGATGTATATCATGCAGCACATCACAACAACTCCCAATGGAACATGTTACAATAAGGGATTGTGTTTCATTCGCACTTTTGAAGCCGGCAAGTAATAGTTTGTTCTTCACACAGAGAAGGACTAAAGTTCACCGCACTTTCATACAGTAAGTCGAGATGACATTTACTCTCCATAGCGTAACTCATAAGCTCTAGCCAAGATATGTCACACCCTGGATATTTAAATCAACAGCACACAGGTTCTCCTCCCATTGCAGTATTTTAGATTCATACCTGCGCGGGCCCAGCGTCTGAAGCCCGGATGCCCAGCAAAGTGTGTCCGTCGATGGGCAAAATTCCACGGGGCCTCAGCGGTTTGGTCTCGATGGAGTTGCAATCCACGTGGAGGGAGGCGGCTTCGCGTTGCACGCTGAGGGCCACCTTGTGCCAGCGCAAGTCCATCAGGGCCTCCACCCCCTCACCAGTGAAAATGCAGTTCACCGGGTCCTCGGCGGGCTCCGCGGCCCTCGCACGGAGCGACAGGGTGCCATCGGGGCCGTTGAAGTCTACGGAGAGCTGCGGGTTTCCGAAACACAATCGGTAATCAATGCACAAGAAAAATCAACTATCTAAAAGATGTCCGACCGCTACTGGTTTCCACAAAGAGCAATATGTACATGCTGATACCACCCAACAAAGCTGTAGAACACCGCCGTGGAGATGAAGTAAAGGGAAAGACATATTAATCACACACGCAGGCAGTACAGACGATCAATCACACCTAATGAGGCGACTTGGCCTTCATCCATCATACACATTGAGTATTTAAATCTGGCCTCAGACTCTTGGTGATTATGGGGACTCTGAGGGACTCCAGTGCTTCATCATGGAACACACATGAATAACAATGAAGGTGAATGAGATAGGAGAGCAGAAGATGATGATGATGATGATGGAGGCAAGAGCAACGGAGAGATGGGGGAGAAAGAGCGGGAGGGGATCAGATAAAAAGAAAAAAAAATAGAGGGGACAAAAGACGGGCGGAGTGAAAGGAGGAGCGAATTGAAAAGGTGTCAAGAGAGAAGAGAAATCGAAGGGGAAAGTGGATGACTATGCAAAAGAGAGATCAGAGACAGAAGGAACGAGTAGACAAAAAGGTGTGAGGAATAAAAGCCAAGAAATCAACGACCGGAAGGGAAAGAAAGGGGGATGGTGGCAATAGGGGCGGGGCAAAAGGATGCAGGAATACATAAGCGTGGCAGAAAATAAAAGCGGGTTGCACCTGGGGGTATCCCTGCTGATCAGATATCTGGAAGAGGTAGATGGTGTCTCTCAGTGCAGCCTTCTTTAACACCACAGTGAAGACCAGGATGAACTCCTCAGGAAGGCCATGAGGAAACACCTGCCTAGGAGACAGAAGATCAGAAGGACGCGTCACTCCTCCATACGGAGATGCTGAAAGTGTCTGGGAAACTCCTGAAAAGGTCAGGTGGGTTAATTTAGCTGTATAACAAACCGGTCGTTTTAACACGGTGAGCACTAAGAGCAAATGACACCAGTCCAGACCTTCTTAATCTACCCTTCATTTAAATGTATCCTGATTATAATCTAGTACAGGAGGACCAGTGGGGGGCTGCCTTTTTCTTGCTTCTGACATAAGCATCTTTAAAAAAAAAATGTTTTTAGTGCACATGTCAGTTTCCAGGCACTTTGTATATTTTCATCTGACCTGTGAAAAGCCGTGAAACTAATTTCACTCAGGAGTAAGTAAATAAGTATCCATCACATGCACACGTTGGCAGCAGCAAAGGAACTAATATCACATTCAATTAAGATTTTGACAAATAAGAACAAGTTTCGAAGTCAAATGTCTTTGTCCTCCTTGGTTTCCTTATTCTTCTTTAAACTCGACTTAATGTCCCCCTGAATGCAGCCAGCATTACAATTCAAAGCTGTGCGTACTGGAACCTCCAGAGTTTTCATTTTCATTCATTTTCATAGCAGATGCAGTCGCTACCTCAGTCTAGGTCAAGGGCATCGACACACACAAGTACAGACACACAAATACGCATTGAAAGGATATGTGTAGATGTCTTGAGAGCTGAAGGGTTCATAAACAAGTCCTGTGAGATGCATGCTCACTGGGATGGTGAACAGTTGGAAATATACCCTATCTCTCTCCATGCACACAACACACACACACACACACACAATTGTTGATGCTGGCAGCTGGTTTCCCTCTCCTAGAAGTGGGGTGACAGTGATGTATGGCTAAGGGGTGATCCAAGGGAAAACAGCCAACTATAGGACATCAAAACCAAAGAGGATGAGTAGGAAAAAAGGTGATGGAGAAAACACATTCAACTTGGAAACCTGCAGAGAGAGAGAGAGGGAGAGAAAGAGGATGCACAAAAAGAGGCATAGAGGGAGTGTAAGTCTGAATATAAGAAAATGCATTTGATAGTAAAGTGGAAAGTTTACAGATTGATGTCTTTTTTGGGGGGTTAACAAAAAGTCAAAGAAAGAGGAAAAAATGTAGAAAGTAGAGGTTGTTTTGCTGTGGAATAGTGACATGAGCTGCAGGGCTGCAAACCACACACACACACACACACACACACACACACACACACACACACACACACACACACACACACACACACACACACACACACACACACACAAATGTGGAAAAGGGAAGATAAATCACCCACATGGGCCAGACAGATTCACAACTGAAAGAAAGTTACTTCTTCTTCTCTTGTTTTTAGTTTTTTTGAAGAGCAACATAGAGGAAAGTCAGTGCAAGAAGCCAACGCAGGGGAAGATGGGGGGAGGGAGTCTATGTTGATAAAGCAGAAATACGGTTGGGACTATCACCTGGAGAGGTGTGTGTGCACCCGTACAGGGCTGTAAGAGAGCTGAAATCAATTGTTTTAAGTGGAAAGGGTTTCTATCCCTGAATGTATAATAAACACCTGACGGCTTGGTGCAGACACTGTAAAACAAGCTCTAGTGGGCCATTGCTGTTTTATGTTGCATTCTTTTCCCTATTGTAATCTTCCATTTGTTTTTTTCTGAATAATGTATACAATTTCAATGAAAATAAACCGCATACAGCAGCACATACTTCACAGCTATTGTATGAAAATATAAATACTTTAGTATATGGGAATTTCTGTTCATGGTGCAGTGCCATGGTTTATATCTCAATAACCATCGATGGTATAAACCTAAAGGCAAGCAGAATTTGATTCACTTATACTGGATAAGGTGACTAGGGGACGAAACCCCAACAAGGCCATTTGTCTACAGCTATGCTTGCAAACATCAGTTTGGCAGTTTAAATTAGACGGAAAAACAACATACAAAAATGTCAGGGAATTATTTAAGCCATTTGTGTTAATCAAACCAGGCATTGATGGACGTCAGTTAATTTGAGAGTTGTCAGATATTTTACTACAGCTGGTAGTGCTATAGGAAAAGCAATTTGAATTTATCCTCTGCAAACCCTGAAAGGGAATAAAAACATGTTTATGCAATTCAACAAATCACAATTCATCCGTTGAGATATGTCAGTTTGGACCAAAGTGGTTTGTACAAATAACCCTCGGTGCCGACCAATGAGACAGTCACGGCAGTGCCTCGATCAAATGGCTCGACATTGGGTTGCCGTCCTCCCATCTGAAATAATTTTACAGTTATCAAGCAATTCCTGCAGCAAAATGCTTAATATGCTAAACAAATTGGACCACTTTCGCGATGTGATAAAACGTGTTATATTCATCAAATGCATTTAAATGTTGTCATAAATATGGTGGCCTTGTAACATAATATCACATAATTGCTTCCCATCTCTGCTACCCGCTGTATGAAAAAGAAACAGGCCCAAAGCAATCAAATCGTATCTTAAAAAAAAAAAAATGCGCGTGACCGGCTGTGACTGGTGCCCATTTCACTGTCTGCAGACAACTGACAGAGGATTAGCTGCATGGATTAGCATCTTAAACAAAGCCAAACGCCGCTTTCTAATTGCTATACACACGTCCTGCACCTCATTCCAACCGAACCGGCAACACATCTGAAAGCTGCTTGAGTGACAGTGAGTCCGTTATGGATAGCAGCCTTACAGCTTCAGAAAGATATACAACATATATCCTGTGTGTGTGTGTGTGTGTGTGTACAAAGACAGACACAAGCAGACGGCGCCAAGAACACGCTAACATGACAAGCCCACACACGCACACACACACACACACACACACACACACACACACACACACACACACACACACACACACACACACACCTGCAGGATGTTACTGAGAGAAAAAGGCATGGAACACGCCTGAGAGTTTGTTCTGTTGCATTCACTTATTGCCTGGGTTCAAACCTAAAACCATGTTGCTTCCCCACTACAACGGTTCCGTTCTCTGCCTACACTCTTCTCTAAATATGTGGAGCCAAAAACAAAACAAAAAATGGGAACATAACTGATGCAAGAAGATGCTACTTTTCCATGAGGCGAAACGGAAAAAGAATAAGCGTTTGCAAAAAAAAATATATATATATATACACAGAAAAAGCACTATGAAAAGCAGCTGGAAGGCTTACGTAGCAACATTGATTACTCCTCGGGTTCAAATCAAATCACCCGGGTAACATTCATCAACGACAAATGTGACAGCCGAGTTCTCAATGTCATCCAGATTTCAATAACTGCTGAGTCCTCACAAAACCCAAACCAGATAGAGGGACGGCCTCTCACTGTCTGGTTGGAGGCAGAACAAACAACTTCTTCTATTATCTTTCAGGTCTTCCCCATTTTTTTATTTTTTTTAATCTCCAAGCCACGACAAAACCACATACGTGAGACTTTTAGAGTATTTTGTAGACAAATTCATCATGCTTTTCCAACCAGTGGAGCTCACTCTGCTGGACAGGGTGATAAAATATCCAAGTGGCGAGTGCTAAACAACTGCTTGCTCGGCTGCTACGGCGAGCTCGGCTGGATTTTATGGCAGCTGCTCAGAAACGAGCTCGGCGCTGTAATACAATGCTGTTAAATTCATATCCTAGTAACATCTTTACTGGCAACTGCATCATGCCTACCAATTAAAGCATCAGTCAGCCAGATATCTCATGTAAAAACTAGTTACAATAAGTACACGCGGTCACAACCGGAAAACCAACAGGCTGTTAAGCCTTCAGTGAGTTGTGTGGCAAAAGCAAAAGTGACGTTTCTGGAAAAGCAATCAGAGATTGACCGGTGCTGCATAGCTTGCTGTTGGACAGCATTGACATGTTTGAGTGAGCGTTCAAAGGCTATTTAGCCGCAAGAGTATTCAGTCCCTGTGCTTATTTCTTTGTTCAGACATGGCACGAGGAGAGTGAGAGCGTGTAGGACCAAGCCCCATAGACATCTGGGAAAAAACTGCGACCGTGGGTTTGTTTCAACGTACTCAGTGGGGCGCAGGAGTGCGGCTTTGCCCAGGCGGAGGATGACCGGTCCTCGAGGGTTGCGGATCTTCTTGACATCTTTACTCTTGAGCAGGGAGAATCGCCTCACCAGATTAAAGCCTGACAACAGAACGGCATTCGTCAGCACCCACTTGAATAGAACAACAACAATAGATCTGCGTGACAGAAGAGGTCGGCGTCGCGTGTTTCAGCTCGTCTTTTCACCTGTGATGTTGTCCCTGGCCCCCTGAGGAAACCTCCACTCATCCACTTGCAAGGCTGGGCATTGATCACCTGTAGAGACAAAGATGAGTCAAAAATCTGTTGCGTGCGACTTCAAGAAAAGCACGTCGATCTTTGGAGAAGTAACTAAGTGTTTTAACAGTGCACTGCTGGGTGAAATGGACTGTTTTGTTGTCTGAGGGAAGAAGCGGCAGCAACAAACATACATCAGAAACAGTAATATTGATCTTGAAGAACAAGAGACGTTGAGTCGGGGTCAGGTTGAAAGAGTCAATAGAGTTGGGGAACAAAGAGTGCGAGGAAATGAGGGAGCAGCCGTGGGGGGAGAGAGAGAGGCAGACAGCCCCAATCCGACAGCTCGTCTGTCGAAGTGGCCTCCGTCTGATGGACGTGTTCTCACCCTGTCAATGGAGGTTACAGAGAAAAGTGTTGCCTGTTCATAGCAGCCTGCCTCGCATTAGAGGGAAGATGTGCAGTGTGTGGAAAGACTGTACTTTTACAGGTAGACAAGGACCCTGTGATCCACAGCTAATTGATCTCTTTGGGGCCAAGCCCCCCCCCCCACACCGCCCCGAGCAAGGCGTTCTACAGGCCACAGCTTTTTAACATGACTGCAGAGAACGTGGAAGCAGGCGGTACCTTGTCTGGAAATAATGTTCTTTAAGCTGTTAAAGTTCTAAAATGTGGCTTCTGCCAAAGCTGACATGCAGACATTTAAAATTACCACCGTACACTGCTTCATCTTTTCGAAATATAATATCAAAGTACTCGGTTAACCGGATCGTATTTTTGCTTTAACTCAAGCTGCAAACGCAGAGCAGATCTATAGGCATTCTTGGCGCGTGCATCCTTGCCACTGGGGGGGAAGCAATGAACATCACTGCCATTATTAATGGTCTCTAGATGTATCCGAAGTATCAGATCTTTTGTTTGTTTCATTTTTTTTAAGACTACTGGTTTGAGACCGTGTCGATGAAACCATGAGGGCACTCATGGTACGTTGCCTTGCGTCATGCAACAGCAGCACTCAGTTTGCCTCCAAACACAATCCAACTTTATCCAGACTAGAATTCCCATCATCATAAAAGGGAAAGAGCTCAATATAATTACCTAAATCATAACACAACTGAGTTTAATTAAGAGTTGGAAAATTAATTTCACGCAGGCCGGCTCGAGAAAGAATTGAATCACTTGCAGCGCTTCATCACTTCCGATCAAGTTCATCAGTCGACGCCCTGCAGCTTCTGCTCGTCTCGGTCTCAAAACAAAAAGTGTGAAATGTGCTCGCGCTCTTTCAGCACATTTCAGTGTGACACTGTGTGACATTGTTGCCTCCTGCAAAGGGCAAATCACGCTGAGACGTTGTACAGCGGTGTTGTAGGTTGAGAAACCCAAAAATTGAATGTGACATCTGAACAAAATAAGAGATACAGTGGAGAGTACAGGCATTCCTCTGAGACCCTCTGATACTCACACACACACACACACACACACACACACACACACACACACACCTACCTAGCTTTATAAGTTCACAGCCTCACAAACGACATCTTCCATCAAAATACAGACATACACAATCACACACACATTAAGAGTTTAACTTCATATCTCCCATCAGTTTTTTGTTTTCAATCAAGAGATGGTAGGATTATCCTTCAGTCGCTACCCAATCTTTTTTTTTCCCTTTCACACCCAATTTCAAATCGGACAAAATCAAGATGTCAGCAGTAATCCCGGCTCGAGGCGAAGGGCGAGTCACAACAAAAAAGGCATGCAACACATACAGGCGGAGGTGTCGACAGGTGGAAGAACAGACCGCAGAAATAAGGACGGTGAAAATGTCGTCAGCTTTTCCTTCTCCCTAACCACTGAGATGAGGCAATCTCTGCCCCACGAGGGCGGATGCGCCCATTTTATGCCCGTCTTGCACTTTGGACCAATCCAAAAGAAGAAAATTAGTATAAAATATACCACTGCCGAGCTTTGATGCATACAGGACAACAAGTGCAATTTATTGAAGGCCAGATTCAGGTGCCATAAATATGACAAATGTGTTGTTACGAGTAGCGCATTGTGTGCAGCAAGTGTTTGGTTATCGGTGCAGAGGAGAAATTTGTCTCGTCTTATTAAGAAGTAGCAACGCATCAAGCTGCAAACCTGACATTGATACAACAGCAGCTCATGGAGCTGATACGACTAATGTGTTGCTGGTCTAATCTGGTTTTTCCTCTTTTGGTCCAACTAGTTGCTATCAGTGTCATTTGGTGCTGAAGTCTTCAATGGGTTTGTTGATTTCTTTTTTCTGTAAATGCTGGCAGGAAGTGTGATTGAAACGAAATAGAGGAAATAGCGGTCAGACAACCCCTAAATAATGAGCTTGAAGACATTCAAACGAAGCTTAAAGCTGCGAGAAACTGCAGTTGGGTAATAAGTATCTCCAGGTTCGTCACCAAGAGTGACACTGTTCACATTGAAACTTCTTCCAGTGAAGAATTATATAATGTACTGCAAGTTTGATGTTCATTTAAGGATGAAGTATAACTGAAGATGACAAAACCAGATGATGCCTTTGCATCATTCAACTACTACTCAAGTACCTGTTACCACTTTTAACACTTTGAATCATGTACTGGATTTACCTGTAGGTGACTTTGGCTCACTTACATGGGATAAACAAGCTATTTCTACATATCTCAGCGGATGGATGATATTTTTAGTGGACTATTACCGACTCGGGCAATTGGCAGTTTGGCAGAGTACGCGCCGCAGAACTTGAACCCCATTTCCTCTCAAGCTGTGATCAAATGAAAGTGTTTGCCTGTTGACACGCTAATTAGGACATAGTACGAGTGCCACTCCAGGATTCTGCAGATTCTGCATGTAGCCTTAAAGAGATCGGAGGCTCTTGGCCGGCTTCACCTCCTCTTTGATGGGGTTGGATTTGATTCTTGCCAAGCAGGTAATGATGCTACACTGGCACTCGTGCAGTACACTGCTGAGAGAGTTCCCCCAGGTTTCCACCCTGCCAAAGAAACAAATTGAGGACATTCTGGCTCTTTTATGGAAGTAAAACCCTGCGTTTTAAATGTCAGAACTTACACTTAAGTTGGAGAGCGTACAAGAGAAAGGTGGCAGATTAGAGTATGGTGAATGCATCAATATAAAGATTACTTCTCCACGAGCAAACATTTTCCTACTCTGGCTTTCATTAATGACAAAGAGCAACTGAGCTCTAGCTCCCCCACTGCAATTTCCCAGCTCAAATAAGTGATGTGTGACCTTTCTTGCGTCTTGCAAGATTTTTTTATGGCCTTATCTAACAGTGCCTTGTTGTGGCCAGGGTCTCCTGGAACCAACTGCCCCTGAGCTTTAATAGTGTTTCTGCAGCAGCAAGCACTTGGCAGAGCACTTTCATTAGGGAGAAGAGGTCACAAGTGTGCTCACAGAGGGTTTGATGTGTGGTTTGCAATACGAGAGGGTATGGTAGCTATTGAATGTGCTTTACAATGTGGCATTCCAAGATAATTGGATTGGGCTGTTGATCAGCCAAAAAAAGTCAGACATCCAACAATCAACTATAAACACAAGCATCAGATGGGAGGAGAAAGGCATGAAGGGTGGTGTACTGTAGTTGATTTAACATACATTCAATGTAGCCAATGCTAGCTTAAAGTTTGGGTTAAACGACAAACTGACTGGATTTTAAGATTGTGTTACTCACTTGTCTTGGCCAAATGAGACAGAAATGAGAACATTCCCATTTTTTCCAGAGATAAAACTACAGCACAGGGGATTGGAGAGACTTAACACACTGCACTGTGGAGGGATGAGCTCACTAATTTTCCCCTTTGAAGGCCTCTGGACCACATTCCCTACACTCATGAGCTCACGCAGACAGGACTCGCATTATACAAAGATAAGAGTAAATGCTGTACACTACTAAAGTTAGATTGTTTTGTTTCTCTGGAAGCCTGTGTGCTTCTTTCTGCAGATTTTGAAAGTACACATTGGGTAAGTGAGGCTGGATGAGACCGAGAAAGGGACAATATTTAGGAAAAAGGTAGCTTCCATTGTAACGTAAAAATGTTAAACATTCATTTAAAACAATATCTTTACTGGAATGCTCTTTCTCCTGCAGAATGTAAAGACATAAATAGTGCTAAGTGTTTGACTCAAGTTCTTTAGGGAACTTCTGAGACAGCCTGTGATCGCCTTGGGCCAGAACAATCTTAAAAGCGTTCACATTCCTCAAGTCAACCGGCTCTTCTGACCCCTCCACTCATATCCGACAGCCTCTCTTCCCTATTTCATTGGTTTACATTATAGAAAGACCCTCTCTAGTGTTCTGACCCGACGTGCCGTTTCACCTGGAATTCCATTAACAAAGTTAGAATTTCCGAATGAAATGCATTTCCTAACTGAAACCTACAGCTGGGGATGTGAGGATGTAGGATTACAGTGACCATGTTGTATATGCCAATGGCACCAGGGTGTTAAATAAAGATATCATTTTTACAATGATGAAGAGGGTAAAGAGGACTTTTAATGTTTTTTTTCAACATCGGCATGGTCACATAGGGGTGACTTGCCCACAACAACAAAAAGCAGTACCTGTCAAAGCCTGTGACCCGCCATTGACCTCTTAGAGAAGTTAGTATGCCTGGGGAGGGCGGGTGGGTGCATATTTAAGAAGCAGCTCCGCTTGGGAAAAACACACACTCTGCTAACATCTTGACATCATTGTAGACATTGTTAGAAAAAGAGTTTCTTCTTCTCACTATTATGTGCCACCACAATTGCCATTTAGTTTAAATATATATTATAATCAATTTAAAGCAATGCCGTGTTTAGTAATAGTGGAGACTACAGATTATAACCAGTTCTCAGGGTAGAAGCACATGCAGTAGAGCATTTAGAATATTCACTTAAATAATTGATATCCTCACCCAACCAACAAGGCATAACTTTAAAGAGGCACTTTGATGTATGTCTGCTTCTGCTGCCCGTCTTCTCCAACTCATAAGATAGCAATATTGTGCATATGAGGTTATTACGACAACAATTCATTGGCACCAGAAAACAAACAACTTAGAGGGAGGCGATAGAGGGAATACAAATCGATCCAGAAATCCATTGCTTCGAACTGTTTAGGGTATGTGGTGCAAGCCTTTCTCAAAAGGCAGGGCATCTCAGCAATTTAATTCAGCTATGGGGACTAGTCTTTCTGGCTGATACACTGCAGAACTGCAGTGCAATCACCCAGCTCGATTCCTCAACACTAGTTTTACTGCTTCCCTGCTGTAATGTCAGCAAATTACCCGTAAGTAGAGATTTAAAACAAATCAGAGGGATGTGTGTTTTTGAGCGTCTGTGGCGCTTGCTGTGACAACATGTTGTAGGTGCACTTGAGAAAGCACTTTTCTTCAAACCACTGGGGGGGTGATGACTCAGAGGAGCTGCAAGCTGAAAAGCTAAGGGTCTCCCGAGAGGGACCCCCCCACCCCTTCTCCTCCTTCACATAGCATGCCTCAGAGCTCGACAAGCTATGGAGGATTGCTCGGCTCCCCAAGTGCTTCCTCGGAGCCGGACCCTGACAACACGCTGACAGAGTGGTGAGGGAGTAAATGAATAAAGCGAAACCTGACCTCTGCATCTTTATCTAGCTTTCACACAGACAATCCAACAGAGGATTCAACATCCTCCTAATTTCACACAGTTGTACATAGAGACGTTCAAAATACTAGAACCTTGATGGACAGATTGATGGCTCACAAAAGAGTGACACAACCGCACACGGTAAACACACACGCCTCCTTGCCATAGCCTGACCACCCTGCCGGCAACAGCCACTGGCTGGAAAACCCACGTAGGCCGGTAATTACAGTCCGTTTTCATTGTAGCCTCGGGCAGATTCACCCACATGCACAACCACCCGGACGCAACCCCATCAAACTCACAGCATCAGCAAAAGCAGACTGCAGTCAACGAGCTGCGGCCTCGTCTGTGAAGATTTAGTTGGAAATTAGCATTTCATCTGCTTTTTTTTGCCGTGAGTTGGATGAAACTCTGCTACGTGTGTACGGTAAATATGAAGTTAGCGTTAGCCGTTCGTTGGCTTCCCACTAACTTAAGCTTCGATTAAAGATGAAGAGTGAGCTTTGGCGGGAACAAAATCAGCCTGCTAGCATCACTTAAGCGCACTGCGCGAAATGCTACTGTCCATTTGCTTAATCCATGGAAACACCAACGGTTTTACTTCAGTTTTCTTTATTTTTTTAGATTATTTCTTGGAACAAAGCATCGACGAGGTAAACAAAAGAGAGCGGATACCTCTGAAGCTCACTAATTTGCTAATGTGGCGCATTCTAGAGGTACTGTCGGACAGGATTTGTAACTGGCTAGCGTTTTTCCTTCTAGGTAATGTATATGGCATTAAAGTTATCAGACTAATATCGATCTTCTCATGCTACTCGCTGAAAGGAAGTAAATGATTGTTGAGTTGAACTAATTATTTGAAAGCAAGATTTTGCATTTCCTCAAGTTCACTTTTCCCATCATCAGGTAGAACCACCAATGGAGTTTTACATTTTTTAAAGCTTCAGCAGAGGAAACTTACCTTGCTCCGATGTCAGCAGGTCACAGGAGCCCCAGCTGAGCGCCAACAATGTCAGACAGGACCACTGAAGCCACATGGTTTCACTCCAACAAGCAGCTCCCCTCAGCCACCAGCTGATGGATGAATAGACAGAGAAAGTCAAAAAAGGCAAATCTGTCAAAATGCCATGCATCAGAATTAACCAGAATGTCCCTCAAATATGATCATATTATCATGTTATTATCCTCGCCATCTGGCTGGCCTTTGAATAGGCAGCTGCGGCACACAAGCTTGTGAATTTGTCAGTCAAAGTGCACTTAAGTGTACAGACAAACAAACGTGACCATTTCTGGGAAGGAATTCAAAGTCAAAAAGAATGTGTACATTCTGCTGCAAACAAAAACAAAGCAAGATGCATGCATGAAATTAAAACATATTTGCATGCAGTCTGGTTGGTCCCAAGGCAAACACGCAGTGGGGCCAAAACACACAAACACATCTGGAGACTATTCCACTGGAGCCATGGTTGTGGTGCAGCAGATGCTTCCACGTGGCTATACAGCAAGTACACACACACACACATACACAAAATAACATGCACGGCTTCAAATTAGTGCCACATCTAGATCATTATTGAATTCGCTGCACAGTAACACTCCCTTCTTACAAGCCCTTTTTTATAAAACATACAAGAATGCACGCACATTTACACAGCAACTTTGCCCAGTCCACACATCGCAGCTGACCCGCACTTGCCCCACACAGCATGTGTGTAAGCACCAATAACTCTTTAGTGTTTACAGGTACAACGGGGCCCTAAAGGCAGGCGAGCAGACTGTGTGCCTGTACACACACCTGTCCCGTCTGCTAGGAGAAACGACCCCTATGCTCCCCTGGGGGTCCACAATGTGGCGTTCCTACCCGGCAGAGGACACCTTTATACAGCCTGACCTGACTGCCTGCAGCTTGCTGCTTACAGACAATGTGGTGTAGGACAGTGTTTTAAATTATGTAAAATAACAAAGACAGCTTGACATACTCCACACTGTGAATTATACATTCAATGTTGGTCGCTGCAGACTCTCGCTTCCCTTGTTTTCTTTCATTTTCAAAAGGCCAGGTTACTATTTCATGACAGGAGCAAGATCCGAGCCAGACACCGTGTAATCATGTTATTGTGGAATTTATCCTTGTGCACAACTGTTGCCAATCTTTTAATGCGAAAGTGGCTGCAAGCTAAACTGCTAGAATTACACATTTTTTTTAGATCTCTGCTGTTGGACGGGTGGAAAGTTAATGAATCTATTCGACGGCTACGTTTGAGGGCCTAAAGGTGCAGCTATTGTAGGCTTTATATGCAAAAAGTTCACAGAGTACATAATGCATCACAATCCAGGAAAAGTTACAGCTCATTGCAATTATTATCTGGCTATAATCCAAAACAATTTAATAGTCTCTCTAATATGTGATGCTATGGATGTCTATCTTTCTCTGCCCTCCATCAGGAGCTTCACGGGCCACCCAGCTGGCTACAGCAGATACAGGCAATGTGGGGGCAGGCCACTCTGCTCGGGAGGTTGAGCTGGCCAAGAGCCCGGCAAGCGGGCCTGCGAGTCGATCGGGTCGCTGAACACAAAGCCAATGCAGGAAGGAAAACAATCGGACATTGTAAAAGCTAGAACTAAAAAACTGGAGTAAACAAAACACAGATCTCATCATTCCAAGGTTTCATTTTGCAATGCATGTCCCTTGAAGATACAAACATGATCTGTATGGTTTTTGAAAAGAGGTTCAGAACCACTGATATTGTCCAACAAGAAAGGAGGTCAGTTGTGCTCAATGCTTAGCAATTATTTTTGCCCCACAGTTAATCATGATCGCCGCTACTTTGAAATGGAAAAACAGTCCCAACACAAGCCTGTTTAGAAGAACACTCTGACATTGTCATAATCGCTTATTGGCCACCCAGATACGGATGATTAAACAGCAGAGGACCAGTAACCAACTGTTTAGACTCCTTTCCATCCGTTTTAATGGGAGAACTCTGCATCAATATGTCAGGCATGTAAGATGGGTGGGTTCGCTGCCTTCGCAGCTGTCTCTCTCAGCATTTTGTACCAAGAAGATTGATGGACAGGGTGTCCTTCTCCATTCTTCCCTGCTCTGTCATATTATGTCATCAGGCTCAAACACACACAGTCAGGATTGGTTAAGATGCTGTGAAGTGAAGACAAGGTCCTGCTCTGACCTTTTTTGGCGACCCTGAATGAATCATCCAGAGAAACGTCCTCTCTCAGCAGAGGATGTGGAGGCAAGTCGACTGGAATGCCACCACAAAACTGAAGCTTCATAAAAACCACGAAGGGCAAACTCAAATACATACATGACATATGAAAGTACAGTACATCATTTGTAACTTGACCCAACCATTGATTCATTACTCAAAAACTTCTGAGCTTAACACTAGCAATGTTTTGCACAGTAAAACAGGCATCAAATTTACCATTTATACCATATTTATGTAAGAAAGCATTAAACTGTGCCGATGAAACAGGTGGATAATGAACTTTAATAATGGCAATATATCAAATAGCTGGTGGAACATTTCTCTCTTGACAAAAGTAGTGGATAAAAAGACTGACACTGCCAACCAAAAAGCCATGCTGCTACTTTGGAGAAAAAAGCAGGTTAATGTTCTTTTGACAGATAAAAGCATCGAGAGCATTTCTGTTGAGTGCTTTTTAATGGGGCAAAAAAGAAGGTCCAAACTCCAGCGGCAATCCACAACAGCACGTAAACTCATGGCTGTTGAACTTTTGGATGCACTTCAGCTCAAACATGAGTGTGCATTGCAGGCCTGTTACAACTAGGAGACTTGGCGAGAATGAAAGTAACTAAAGATGCCTTGAGGCGTTGATATAGACTCCAGATATCAACAGACCAGGTTGTTTAAAATGCTTCCAAACTAGCAATACTGCAAGCTGGATGACAAAGAAGACAGTTTTTACTGGCCTTCTGTTCAGGGCCTTTACTTTATTATCTGTGACAGAGAGAGGCTAGTACAACTGAACAAAAATGAGAAGGGGAGAGGGGTGGAGGGAGGGAAGGGGGTGATGCATGCAACCCTCACTAAAGTTCCATTGCCATAGTCCACTTTCAAAAGTTACAATGCAATGTGATGCATACTGTGATGGCATGAACTGATTGGACGAAGAGCGTGCATGGTTGAGTCGGTCTCTAGCAGGCGGGTGACTGACTTGAGGCTGACCATTTCTAGTATCACGTTCAAATCACTGCAAACGTGAACAAGCACAGAGTGATATAATGCGCTGCAGGCTACACAATTGGAAGAACTGAATGGAGTAGATTCTGCCCGGCCTGTTAATCCTGCAGCGAGTCAAGCGAGCAACACTTAATGTGTTGTGAAGTTCAAAGATAACAGTTTGACATGCAACAAAAACATATCTGTTTACCTTTGGTAGCAACCTCTAACACATCTGTTTACCGAAGGTGTGGGAGATTGACACCTCCGACGAGAGGAAGCTACTTTTTTTCTGCTGAAATAAATACGTTTGCAGAGGGGGGGGGGGGGGGGGGGGGGGGCTTTCAAGATGGGAGCCCAGTCAGGATGCAAAAGCCAACGCACATGGGACCGCCGAGGGATGAGGAAAACAGATGTGACTGTGGCTTTCAAGACCCCCCTTCTCCCCCATCACCCCTATGTAGAGGTAAATTAGATATTGGAAGCTATGGTCTCAAATCAGTACAGCGCTGTGCTCAGACATTACTTAGCCTCAATAATATGTATGCCACAGATCCAAACAAGGCTCAGTTCAGAGGCTGTTCCATGCCAGGGGGGGTTGGAGGCAAGCCACAAACATTCAGTAACAAGTCAGCCCATAATGTGTTGTTTTAAAAGGTCTGCTCAGGGCATGAGGGGAAAATCAGGGTCACGTGTTGGCAAGCAGTTAAACCATAGTTGTAGTTAGAAAAGAAAAAAAAAAGTTACTCAGCTATTTCTCATCTATCTGTATCTGAGTTACTGAGCTACTCAGATACAGATAGAACTTTCAATGAAACCATGACACTTTTTCTCCAGCATCATAGTCGGGACATTTCTTCAAGTTTGTGTATTTGTCATCGGCTATATAAAGTGCATATGCAGTCTAATACTACTTTGCCTGTTGCAACATGAACTGACTGCAAAAGGTTTTTGCATAAAGTTCCACTAAACAGTTAAAAACGGCCAATCTGCTTTCACTGCGACTTTACTACTGATCCAACATCGCTTTAGGACATTTCAAGCATTGCTAACAGCCACGGAAAAAGTAGTTTAAAAAAAAAAAAAAAACATACCTTTAACAAATGATAAATCCGTAATTTTGCGACCACATTAATCCATGAATAAATGCGGCGTGTGCGGCCCGGGAGAAGGATGATGTAATCCGGTGGCGTCTTCTCTCTGCTGGATTTCTTTTCTTCAGACTTTTTCCACAGAGAAAGGAAAGCAGAAAGGAGGCAGACAAAAGTTAGGGAAAGATCTTTCGTGTCCAACCCCCTCCTCCCCCCTTCCTCCCTCCCTCTTTGCACAAACCCTTCCCTCACTTCACTCCCCCTTGCTTTCCCCGTGTCCTTCTGGTTTCTCTTCACTTCCTTTCTTGTTTTCCCTCTCAGTCTCCTCTACATGCAGATGTCTCCTGCCCCCTCGCCTCCCTCCCTCCCTCCTCTCTCCTCTTGCGGTTTCTCCCATCCTCGCTGTGGGAGATTCCTCAGTGGAACTGTAGTGACATCACCTTGTCCCTGGTAAAATGAGCCTGGGGCATCTCTCAATTCTCTCTAGCAAGCTCTTATCCTCTCTTTACCCCCCCATGTCTCATTCACCTTTCAAGGTTTGCCTCATGGCTTTGGAGGCTATAAAGGAAAACTTCCATTCGGTTTGGTTAAAGGACTGTGTTGGGACAGGAAATGCGGATAACCGCAGCGATGGCTGGTGCATTATTGAGAAGAATTTATTCCATTAAAATGAATGAACTTGCTTATCATACTTACCTTTGATTGAATGCCAGGTCCACAGCCTCCATGTTTGTTGATCACTGGATTTTATTGCATCCAATCCATAAAGTGGCCTCGGTTGCAGCTCCTGATCATTCAGTAACACTTGTCTTAATAGCCACATAAATTCCCCTGTTATTGTCAGTAAGTAAATAGTTCAGAAGGTGAATACAGATTACATCTGCATTCGATTCATACGTGAATACTCTGCTTCAGCGGAGTAGGTACTGAGGAGTGCTCACATCTTTCAAGATATTCATTTCTGTACTCCGTCCAGAGGTTAAATCCTCAACCAGGCCATTATCTCTCACATTCTCATTAGCTTCAACCTCTAGCGCAGAAAAAAAAAAAAGTTCAATCAGCCAGAAAGAAAGAAGGCTTATGAGCAGCCAGCTGAATTCCAGCAAAGCTCCTCTGCGTATGAGAGGGACAAGACCCCATCAATGACTTTGGCAGCTGCCTAGCAATCCTGTAACATTTGAACTACATATTCCTCTGGATAGGATCCCTTTGAACTAGTATGGGTGAAAAGAGTCATTTGGCCACTTCCCTGTGGGAAATCTGGTGTGTGCAAGGTCATGTATTTTATCAACTTAAAACACAATTTGCTAACTGCTAAATACTTGATGTATGAAACTAAATTAAACTGAATAGCAATTAAATGGTTTTATCTTAATGTCTTTTACTTGGAATTGATAATTTTAGAATTTTCTCCAAAACAATTGCCATCATGAATACAATTTATGGAACATGAACAGTACAATGTCTTGAGGATTATAGCTAAAGACCTAAAGTACCTTTCCACTTGCACTTGTCTCGTAGCACACAGCAGTGAAGTAGATGGATTGGAAAGACACTATACAGAAAGATAAACTCTTGGGTTTGCGCCGCACTTGTCGACCAGCAGACTTCCTTGTGAGTATGTTCTTTTCATCTCGTCCACGAGGGCTGGGAAGCGGTCTTCAATTTATTTACCCAAACCTTCAATTTTGATAACGTAGTTTTTTTCCTTTTTCCAAATGCCACAAGACTGTTTGAAAAGACGGGTTTTAAATAACGTGAGCTCCACGCATCATGACAAGACATTTGTAGCGAAGAAGAACGACATAAAAACCCCCCAGAAAAGGTTCTATAAATAATTACCAATCAACCTGTTTAAATAAGTCTTACATTTCTGTATTTAAATGTTTGTAGCCTATATGCTTTATAGAGTTGTAGGAATATGATTTGTTCACTCACAAAAAGTTATTTACTATAAGAATCGACTTGCTAAAAGCTTGGCGCGAGTATGCTCATGATGGAATATGCTAAAATAAATTAGTGTCGCATGTTTCACTATTCATATCCCAAGAAAATTAAAGAGCCATTTTGTGGAAAATATTTTAGATTCTTGCCAGAATACCAATTAAATGAAGCGTTACGGTCCTGTAGCGAGTGAGTCAGCCAAAAAGGAAACGGGAATACTTCAAAAAGGCGATACAGAAAACAGATATAAACTGATGAGGCAATATGTTTGTTTGAATCAGGGTGGTTTCTGAATGCCATTGGTAGAAATAAAAAATGATATAATGATATAATTATGTGTTATCACGCCGGGTTAACACAATCTCCTTCTTTTATAAAGCCGAACAGGAAAAGAAGGGAGGAGAAGCAGCGACTACGGAATACATGGACCACCAAATGCTCCACAGGGAGCTGGAAAACCAGCGGGAAAGAAGAACACGAGACCGGCTCAACAATTGAATCTGATTTGGCACATTGTTGAAAAAAAAAAAAGATTGAAGCGGGTCTTTGGTTTTGTAAGATGTGGTATTTTATGGTAGTTGTTTAACACAATATAGAAACTAGAGAAATTATGTCTAAAACACAAATCACACAACGTAAGAACACAGAAAAACACGATCTTTCCTACTCTTTAGCAGCTGTCTATAAGTGGGTTATGATTGTAATGGGATTCCTTAAAGGCCTTTATCACCAAACAGGATCCAGCTAGGTGGAGGACAAAGGTAACATCCAATGGGGGACTTTTTTAGAATGCGTCTCATGTACTACGGCTGGGATTTTCTTCAAATATGTTTGAAGCCAGTCCCGATGCGCTGCATATTGATTTGAATGGTATTGGATTTTGGTGGTTCAATTCTAAAGTTGCAGCCCTCTATGACTCCCACAACTTTGCTGTATGCATCATTTTGTCTTTATAAGCCCGGATCTACTTTATCAAAGCTAGTGAGGTTTGGGGAAAGGTCGACCACAAGGTAAATCTTTGTTTTTCATTTGCGGGAAGATATTTGGCGGTATGGCTCTGCAATAGGACCTCACTGCCTTTTAAATGTGTAGATGTGGAAATATAAGACAGGTTCATTAGCTGCAATGAACTCCAAGGGGAGACGAGCAGAACAGGCATCAGTGGCAACACAAATTAGGTTGATCAGTAGTACAAAACATGAACTGGGGTGGAGGTGGGCTACAAGCAGCAGAAGCAGCAATACATTTCCAGGGGAGCACGACTTTCTTCTTCAGTTTCTGCGACTATTCTATGATGCTCAGTGTGAATTTGAGGGAAACTAGTAAATAAGATTAAACCTAGTGTTCCTCTGATGTTCCTTAATAGCACACTGTCAGAAAACAACATCAGACATACGTTACCAGGCATCTCGACGGAAAAAAAAGACAAAGACGGCCCTTTACTGTGAAAGAAAACAAGGATCTAGGGGTAGAGCGGGTGCTCCGGGAAGCGCAAGCTTGGCGGTTCGAGCCCCCAGCTGCTCCATGTGCCATGTCGGAAGTGTCCCTGAGCAAGACACCTAACCCCTAATTGCTCCCCGGGCAAAAATGTAAAACACCATGGTTTAAAAATTAAATAAGAAAAAATGCAATGTAAGTTGCTTTGGATAAAATCGTCAGCTAAATCACCTGTAATGTAACTATCTCAGAAAAATGACCTGCACCAGTTTCAGTGGTTTTCAAAGACTGAGAAAATCTACCGGTGGCTTTTCTGGGCGGATGGGAAGATCAGCATGTCACGTACATGAGTTCGCTGTAGCTGCCTGAGGAATCCAGCCCATTTCCTCTCGCAGCGTCAAACAAGACCGGGGCGTTGCTGGGGTAACCCCCACCCAGAGGAGGGCTGGTCTATGGTGGATGCTATCCTCCTCCTCCTCCTCCTCAATGAAATAAAACGTCAGATAAACACAAATTATTTACTTTAAAAAATGGTTAAAATACTATCATCAAAAACTGTTATAATAAAAAGTGCGAGTTAAAAACAAAGCCTTACAACATACACAACCTATATTCAAACATGGGGCTTTTTCAAGCACATAAGGAAACAATATGGAAGCGCTGTCAGTTCACTACTGCTGGGAGTAAAAGGATTATATTTCGGGGCGTATTCTGTCTATGAGTCCTTGTGCTGTCCTCATTGCCTCAGGCGGGATCATGTTATCTCTTGATGGTGAACTTCTAAAAGTATTCTTGAAATATTCACATTTGTACTGCCTCTCTTTGCCTCAATGCAGTAAAAGGATTAATCTTGTAGAATAAAAAAAAAAGGAAAAGATGCTTTGGCTTTCCAGCTCCAAAGGGGAAATGCCATTTGAGTTCATTTCCATGGAGATATGATGAGAAATATATTGCACATGATGCTCCCCTCATACACAAACTCAGGGACACTTTGTCTTTGCTGCTTCACAAACACTGTTTGGTCGTAATCCACTTATAGCTATTCGCCTGATCCACTTTGACAGCATTGATAAGTTACATTGATTAAGAAGCAGGGATGAATGTCTTTGTCACAGATTTCTGCGTTTTTGAGCTACGTTCAAAACTTGCGGCTGCAGAACAATTTTGCACAACAACTACTAGACCTTTCCTTCAAAATAGATAGCGTGATTATTTGTACGTGTGGGTTTGGAGGGAAAAAAAAGATACAGGATTGACATGAAAGGGGCAATTATTTTGAAGGTCTGTATTATACATGAAAAGATGCAGTTTCAGAGGGCCTCCCCGGGGGGCACATGTGGGTAACGGATTTGTCTTTTCTTCCAGTTCTTCACAGCTCCTTTCTGTGCACAAGGAAATCAAGCCACGAAGTGGCATGCGACTAGGGCTTCAATGAGAATTGACGTAAATGCTCCAGTTCAGATGCATGTGAGCCATTCATATCCTCACCTGGTGGGACTAAAATGTGATGACAACCCTGCGAGACATGATCATAAATGCTTCATCATAAAAAAAATAAGGGAAAAGAAAGACAATAAAAGTAAGATTACCGTGAAGGATCGACGACTGAGCTATTACCATAAAAACGCAACGAATTTGGCTTCATGTCAAGGCAATCTACGTGCTGTTTGGAAACAAATTGATTGGGAGCAATAGTTTTCTAAATGTGGCCTAGGTAGACTGGTCCAAGTTATACAGGCTGGTGGGTTTGGACGAGTTCCAGCACACGGCCGGGGGGGGAATCTCTGAAAAGGAGGATCAATGAATTAGT